AGTCTGGCGCCTGCCCTTCAGGAGCACATGGCATGTGAACTTGAGGAAGGAGAGAGCCTGACTGTGGGACTTAGGCACCTGAGGGCTGAGCCACTTGAGAGCCAAGGTCCTCATCAGCTGAGGTTCACAAATGACCGGCAACTGTACACAGCCACCTCTGGCCTCGGGGACAAAGCAGAGGTCTGGGATGGGAAAGGGAGGCTGTTGTCAGGTTAGGATAGCTCATAGGAAAGCCTAGACCCACCCCAGAGCCACCAGCTACCGTGGGGCCAGTGCCACCAATCCCAAAGGGTCTATGAAGTACACAGGGTTCTTGCAAGAAGCCCTGAGCCCATGTCTAAGAGCACAGAGATCACTTCCATGTGACTTTTCCTGAGACCCTTGGGTGTCCAGGAGGAAGAAGAAATGGAGCAAGACCCCATACATATGCTCGTCATGCAAACAACCTAACTGGGCCTCCCTCCTGAGATTAAGGGTCCCCAGTGGATGTGGAGGAAGTGACTATAGGGCAATTGTCGCTGGTGCTTTCCTCTCTCCCCACTGAGGCCACTCAACATGCCTCTGGCCCTGAAGGGTTTGGAAAGAGAGGAATAGGTATCTTCCTTCTAGCAATAAGCCAGGCCCCCCTCTTGGCCTTGGATTCAAAGCTGGTATAGAGGACAGTAAGAAGAGGGAGAGGGGTGTGTGTGTGTGTGTGTGTGTGTGTGTGTGTGTGTGTGCATTTTCTGATGCTTGCCATTCTCCCCACAACTTGAAGGAAGAACCATCATTATCCCCATTTCACACTTGAGAAAGTAGAAGTACAAAGATTTAAGTAATTTGCCCAACAGCTAAGTGAGAGACCGAAGACTGGAACTCAGGACTTGGTTTCACAGTTAGTGCTCTTGATTCACCATCATCTTCTGCCCCAGAGCCTCTGTTTGCTCATTCATAAAATGGGTGTGATTGCAAAACATATCTCATAGGTTTATTGCAAGTTACGTGAAACAATGCAAAGTAAAGTGCCTTGCGTGAGACTGTCAGTTGCTGTCATTCCCAGACAAGATTAAACGTCGAGGGTAACAAAAGGGAGGGGCCATCTCCTTCCAGGCTTTTTGATAAAGGCCAGGAAGACAGCTGGGTGAGACTGGGCTCTGTTCCCCAATCTCACTTAGTCAGCCCTCCTCCCTACCTGGAGTGCTGGGAAAATCACATTTGTGTGAGAAGCTGAGACATGCTAATCCATCACTTTTGTCATTTGCGCTAAAATATAATAAGATGAGCTGGTCTTACCTGGTTTAAGACCACAGCTCTGTGTGTGCTGCCAGCTGGCTCATTCTTGCATCTTCCTTCACTCCTGTGTTTTGATCAAAGACCTGGAAATGACAGCGGTGCACTCTTCAAAGTGCTTTTAAACCTCTCTCTCTCTCTCTCTCTCTCTCTCTCTCTCTCTCTCTCTCTCTCTCTCTCTCTCTCTCTCCTCACAGCAGGTGGGTATGATTATCCAGGCCTATTTTACAGATGAAAAGACTGAGGTTCAGAGAAGCTAAGCAACTTGCCCAAGAGAGAAGAAGAGAAAAGAGGAGCAGAGGGCTTGGCCAGCCCCTCCCAGGTACACTGAGTTCCTAATAACTAGGCATGGGCTGGGTGGGCTGCCTGCCACTGCCCCCGGGCAGGAACTCAGGCCAGCCTTGGTGGGAAGCAGGGAAAGCCTTCCTCCTGGGTTAGGGGAAGGGGATGGGAGGTAGGGAGGCTGGAACAGAGGACGCAGGGCAAGGATGTGTGAGTCCTTCTCATGGGCCACACTGAGAAAGCTGACCTAAGGCTATTTTGATCCCTGGGCACAAGATGGCCCTCTCTCTGTTGGGGTTACATGACCACCCGCCCCCCTCCAGGCAGTCCTCCTGGGTGGCTTCCTCTAGTATAGCCACACTGGTATCCCTGCCCTGACACTGCTCCTTCCCTGTCCTGCTACCTCAGGTTGAACCAACCACAGCTTCTCAAGCTGCTCTCATGGTTTGGGCTTCTGAGCGGCCCACTCGAAGCTCTCTCTCTTTTCCCCCCTCCCCCACCCTTTTGGTAAGGAGGATGTACAGCTTGCTATTTTCAAAGAAATCCTCTCTCCAATCTCCCAACCTCTATATTTCAATCCCTTATTCCCTGAGGTAGGGGATGAGCTAAAGGTGGCAAAAGCATTTCCAGCCAACCCCTCCACAAGTCTTGCATAGATGACTTAGCACCTCAATCTGGAAAGAAGTGATGTTTGGTGCTTACGGTTTCATGCCCACCTGTGGGGCTTAAGAAAGAATCCCACTTGAGCTTCCTGTCCTAGGAGCTTAGGCAGCTGTAAGGCCTCTGGCCCTCCTGCCATGGTGTTCATCTTGGGCCCCAAGCTCTCCATGTCTTCTTCCCGGCCAGTGTAACTCAATTTCTATGCTATCCCCCAGCCATCCAACCCAAATGCATAAGAGAAGGCTTGAGTTGATATATTGATCTAGTTTAAAGAGTCTGGACCAGCAGTCAGACAGCCTTGCTGTAGGCCTGTCTCTCTCACTAAAGGGCTGTGCAACCCTAAACAAGTCAGTTACCTTCTCTGGGCTTACATTTTGCAGCTCTAAAACAAAGAGCTTGAAGTTGATGGTCCCTGAGGTCCTTCCAACACTGGGATGCTGAGTGGTCTGGGGAATGTACAAGGCCAGGGCCAGGCCAGTTCAAGGGCAGAGATGACGCCAAAACCCTTCTGGCAGTGCCTGACATTTCGACTCCTGTCAGTGGACTGCTTTGTTTCAGGTGACAAGGTTGTCACGGGATCTGTCTCCTGCCTTAGGGAACATGGAGGCCCCCAGTTCAGGATAGAGACACAACAAAAGGGCAGGCCCCTGAGCCTGGGGGGGCCCCGGTGATGTCAACCTCTGCAGGTCCAGGAAGCGGCATGCCCCAAATAGCCTTATCCCAGCATCTAAAATAGGCAGCAAATGGAATGGTTTCCAGGCTCCCCTTCAGCAAAAGATAAAAATATAATGGGCTCAGGGATGTCCCGTCATAAATCAATCAGCTGGGACTATTTCTGTCCTTATCCCTTGCTGGGGTCCCTCCTATGACCTCCATCCATTCTGTCCTCTCGTCCTGGTCTCCCAGCCACCTTAGCTCTGAAGTAGGAGGCTGCTCACACTCTGCCTTGGGACGGAGGTGCAGCAGCCTGGGCGCCAGTGTGAGGATGCTACCCCCGCCTACTGGTGCACAGATAGGCATTCAGGTGCCTCCACCAGCCTCTGTGAGCCTGCCCCGCATGAGTCCACCCTGACAGGCCGATCAAGTCCCATCCACGCCAGGGTTCCGGGTCGCATGGCAGTCCGTGGGCTGGGGTGGTTTTCCAGGAGTAAACGTCCCTGAGGAAGCCCTCTGCCTGGCTGTGGGTAGGGCTTCTCCTTCATGTCATTACAGAGGTGAAAGGCCCACCTCTTAAGGGCACTGGGAGGAATAAAGGAGACTTCGTAAGTAAAGCACCATACTCAGCACCTGGCAAGCTGCCTACCCAGAAAATAAGACTGGCCCCGCAACCCCCATTGTCAGGAGCCCAGACTTTCAGGACTGACCCATGTCCTCAGAGAGGTCCTTTGAGGAGATTTCTGCCCATCTGAAACCCTAAGTCAGCTGCAAATCCGGCTCTTGGAGAGACTTTTGAAGGCATGTGGTCTATTCTGAGAGACGAAGTCAGTTCCCTAGTAACTAACCATACATGCAATGCTGTGGGGCCTGCATATTACATTCTCATATGCTGTCCTCCACCGCCCTCTGCAGGTTCCTGTGCGATACTGCAGGCACTGTTGGCTGCATCCTTGAGACCAAGGATCCTCACTTTGTAGACAGACTTGAGGCAGTTTACTGACCAAGACAGCAGGGCAAGGCCAGGTGTCTCAGGAAGACAGCACCTCAAGTCACAAAACACTTGCTCGTTTGGTTTTCATGACCCCTCTGCCTTGCCTCTGTTCCGAAGCTCCACAGTCATTGTTCAGCCCTTCCGGCTGCACAAATAGCAGCGGACACATCAAAGTCTGGGGTATGCCCTAGAATATTCCGGGAAATCATTTGAAACAGACAAATACTGGCTGCATTTCTAAAGCTCTTTAGTTTGAATCACACTGTCTAGAATACTCTGAGGAAGGAGGAAGGGAAGTTTGTAGGAAAAGTGTGTGTGTGTGAGAGAGAGAGAGAGAGAGAGAGAGAGAGAGCGAGAGAGAATTCTCCAGAAACGAAGGCTGGCTAAGATATGGCAGACACTAGCAGTTGGTGCAGTTATGACGATTACTAAGCATTTCTCATATGCCAGTCAGCTAACAGTCTCGTTTTTTAGTGACATCAAGCTCCAGCCTCAACTGCGTGGTTCCACTATCTTTCCATGGCCAGAAACTTGAACCCTGCCTGGCAGAAGGTGGGTATTTTATACAATGAAGGCACATGACAATGTCACATCGTCCACCTAGTGCCACAGGGTGATGAAATCACCAGTGAGAGAAACCACAGGGATGTCTGCATTTCTCTTGTTCTCTTTACCAGCCTTAGGTAGGGTCTTAGCAGAGTTCATTGCACCCATAGAAAGGGAGCCAAGTCGTTGGCACCTGCAGGTTCCTTATATCAGTGGAGTTTCCAGGTCACATATTTAGAGACTGTTAGAGCTGGAGAAGACCTTGGAGATGATTCCAGTCCAGTCCTTTCATTTTGCAGTAAAATGAAGTGCAGAAAATGGAAGTGACATTCCAAGGTAAAGACAGAGACACAGCTGGGATGAGAACCCCAGCTCCTTGACTGCTTTTCTTCTGGCTGATCTTGATTTCTTTTTATATCATTTCTAGGTGGAAAGTACTCTGGCTTCATGGGAAGATTTTTATAACTGATTTTTTTTAATACACAACGGGGAAGAGAAGAAACTCACCACATAATAGGCACTCAATAATTGGGTTTGTTGGTTTGGGTGTTATGGAGTAATCTTACTTTATGCAACTTAACAAAATTAGACCAAATTAACCTTGAATTTGTTTCATTCTTTATTCTCTCCGATGACCCAAAGGTGGTTAGAGGCTTGAATCTCACTACATTGTCCCAACAAAAATTTTTAGGTATGGATCTGAGGTGATAATATGATGTTCATTGGCTCGAAGGAAAGGCTGCCTGAGGAAGGCATGTGGATTTAAAGTAGCTTTCGTTCAAGCTTCTGGAGGTTTGTGGGATTCCAGAAGGACAGACATTGTCAGCACCTGAGGTTATATCGTCTGTCCAATGAGTTGGGACATAGCATACACACTTCCTGAATCTATTTAATCATATACATGATTAAAACAGACCTGAAAGGACCCTTCATTGCCTAATAGCCACTTGGACCTTGAGCCTAATAGGTCTGAATTTGCTTATCATTATGTTTACAAATCACATTTTTTATCAGAATCTTCCAATGCATTCACTGTTCTGCGTTGTCATCCTGCAGTTTTCATAGATTCGTGTTCTTCAGGGCATGTTCCACGCTTCACACGAGAAGAGTCCCCTGGGGGCTTTCTCTTCAGACCCTCCGAGACCAGGGTTTATAGTTTCCTGGTACATCAGTGACACTCTAGAAAGGAACGACAGAGAACTCACTGCCAGGGTCTTCCCATAGCACCTGCCCCCCTCACCCTCTGTACATGCCGCCTCCCACCACTGCCAGCCACCATGCTAAGCCCAAACACCACTCTGCAGTCCCAGCTGTTGGAGATGCCCCCCGGCAGGACCCCTTAATTTCCTAGTCATTCATTTCTTTCTACTGAGCACTTTTCATGTGGCAGGCACTCTAGGAGGCTCTGGAGGTACAGGGATGACCAAATTCAGAAGTAGTCCCTTCTAGGAGACATTCTCAGTTCTTCAAAAGCATAGAACCAGCTGCTCGGTCCCCTGCAGGGACTTTCAATCACTGGTGTGTTTTAACACAGCAAAGGGCTCATTAAGTCATGGAGTTGTGCATCAGATTGTTTACAAGGAGCTAACTTAGCAACCTGTGCGGTTTCTAGAGAGCCGTGCAGCACTTCCCCTCTCGGGGAATGGGGTTTGGGGACCTGTCAGCACTGGGCCATGGTGGAAGGTACTGGGCTGTGCGAAGGTTGCTGCACAGCTGTGGGCATCCTCCCTGCCTGGTAGCTCCCGCCCCACAGCTAACGCTATTGGCAGACCTGAAGGATGACCGGACTAGAGACACATCCGCCTCCCTTCCTCTCAGTGCTGAGATCTGGGATGGCAGAGGTGCCTGCCCGAGTGGCTCTCCTGCCCCCTCCCCATCCCTGGAACACTTTGGCTCCATAAGTACCTACCTCACCTCTAAACCCCAAGGGCCTATCAAATTTCCCACCAAATAACCCAGGAATACAACTTGGGGGTTGGGAAGAACCTGGTTCTGCTACCTCAACAGAGGCTGCCATTGCAAACTCAGAGCCCGGGCTGCTTCAGAGGGTCTAACAGTAGAAGACACTATCCTAGCCTAGCCTCCTGTTAGCAGGCATTGTCCACTATGAGTACCACATAGGGCCTTCCCCAAATGATCCCAACGCCCATGGAATTCCTGTTCTATTCTGCTACAAACATCTCCAAGGTGGTAACCCACATAATGAGATCACGTGGCTTCCTAAAAGGCTACAAAGTCTTCAAGGGCACCCGTGTGTCCCCAGTATCTGCATGGCACATGGTAATCACAGAACAACTGTGCGTCATCTGATTATTTAGCTCGTTCTTCTTTTTCTCTCCATCTCCTTTGTACCTCACACAGTGTTTTTAACAGAGAAGGGTCTCAAAACACATGCTAGTGGTGGACACTAACAATTAGGCTCTCCGGGAGCTTTAGCTATCACCCTCATCTTCATGGAAAATAATGAAATCCATGGGTGTATAGACTCCCCTTCTTTTTCTAAGGAGGTCCCGCTACCAGCTGCAGCTTTAATGGGAGTTATTGTTCTTTGCTTGCAAGTTCAAGGGCGTGCCTCAACCAGAGAGTGGGGGGTGGCCTTAACCGGTGTGTGGTTGTGTGGTTGAAAGAGAGCCTAATACCTCTGTCCCCTGGCAGAACTCGCCCCTACAGTTGACGGGCCTGTGCCCTGGCCTCCCCCAGACTGAGTGGGTGCTCCAGAGCCATCATACCAGGGTGGTGAACTTGTCCACGCAGGCATTGCGGATCTTCTCCGGGGTGGCAGGGCTGTCTAGCTGGAAGAGCACCTTTGTATTATTGTCTGCATGCTGAGCTCGGGCTGCACGGATGGCATCCTTGATGGCAAAGAAGACGGAGGCAGCCAGGAAGAGAGGCGGCTCCCCGACAGCCTAGGGGGGGACAGAGTGAGAAACAGGAACTCAGGCCGAGAAGCCCCAGTCCCCACAGCAGGAGGGCCAGTGATGCTGGAACACCAGCTGCCAGCACTGACAGGCCTCAACCAATCAGGGGCCCAGAACAGTGACTCTAGTAAATGACTCGACCTTGTCAGCATATTTCTTTGAATTCTTACTGTGTGATTCCTTGATGACACCATGCAAATCTAATGTACCATGGAATGTAATATTAAATAGTCACAGTGTATAAACAAACAAAATCTGGCACGAATGTTTAACCCTTTCCTTGCGGTGATGAGCCTAGCGAAATAATCTACCTGCAACTCCGACCCCAACATGTACTGGCATCATAATTATACGCACAGCATCTACAGGAATATAGGCACCATGTCAAACATGAATTAAAACACTTTCTAGCAGAGGTGGTTTTGTCCCCCAAAGCACAGATCAGAGACTGTGTATCAGAATTACTAGGGACACTTGTTAAAAATGCATGTTCCAGGGCCTGAGCCCAGATCTACAGAATCAAAATTTCTAGGGGTGGGTCACCCAGAACTGCTTTTTAAAAATATTTTTTATCGATTTCAGAGAGGAAGAAAGAGGGAGAGAGAAATAGAAATATGAATGATGAGATACATTGATCATCTGCCTCCTGCACACCCCACACTGGGGATCAAGCCCACAACCCCAGGCATGTGCCCTGACCAGGAATCAAACTGTGACCTCCTGGCTCATAGGTCAGTGCTCAGCCACTGAGCCACACCAGCTAGTCCAGAACTGCATTTTTATCATGAGCCAGTGGCAGGGGTTGCAAAGTGTCTCAGATGCTCCCATGATGATGTAGCCATGAGATGAGCAAATGGGTGGGTTTCATTGCTTTCAAATGATCAACTGTCTTCCTTAGACCTAGGACTAGATCAATCAGCTTGATTGATTTTCAACCATTTTTCTATACGTATTGGGGACAGGGAAGAAACAGAGGATGGTTATCATCCTTCAGGCATGCTGATCAAGTCTTAAGGTCAGGGGCAGCCCCTGAAGGAGGTGATGGGGTGCACAGAGGCACTGCCCCATCTTCAGTGAATGTGCTGGTTCTTATAGGAGACAGTGGTACTGGATCTGTGAGATCGTGTCTAGGGCCAAACCTCAAGGATGGACACCTGAGACGGGGGTGTAGGTCAGGGTTTGGCCTATAGGATTGGGTTAAGGAACTCCTTGCTACACGGAGGAGCTGTCATGTTCAATCCAGTTCCCTGGTTCTCAGGCAGGACTGTCCGCCCCTCCACCACCATTGCCAAAGCCGGTGTTAAGCCCTCTTCTCAGATGAGCCACCTGCAGACCCACATGGGGGTGGAGAGGCCTGTCACCACCCGGGGCCTCCCACAGTGTAGACAAGAGGCAGCCCACAGGGAGCCAGTACCTTGGATGCGTAGATGGCCTTCTTGTTGGGACTGTCACGGAGCAGGGACACCCTGAACTCAGTGGGGATGTTGCCAAACGCCGGGATCTTGTAGGTGCTGGGGCCGCGGGTGAGCAGGTTGCCCTCGGGCGAGTAGTGCAGCTCCTCCAGTGTGAAGAGGCCCAGACCCTGGACAAATGCGCCTTCCACCTGCAGGGCAGACGGACACCGTGGACACACTGCCTCCCCATCCCCCAGGCACAGGTACTGCTTCCACCACGGGCACCAGGCCACCAGAGCGGGGCCTAGAACGAAGCTGGAAACAGCCCTGCACTGCTGACCTGGCCCCTCACCACCCGGGACAACCTCTCCAGGCCTTCGCCAGGCATTGGCACTGAAGGTCAGTTTTAGAACTCATCGGCGATTCCGGAGGCCCATGCAGTGGTAGCATAATTTCCCATTAAAACCTGCCGCAGGGCAGTGCACATGTTCCTCCTGTGTCACCACTGGGGAGATGGTCACTCCGCACTGAGGCAAGAGCTCACAGGCTAATGGGTGCCGAGTGCCCCCAGGGGCCTGCGCTCCTTCTGTGGGACCCTGCACTTCTGAGCAGCCCCAGGAGAGAGGAGAAGCTTTTTGATAGTACAGTGGGGCCTTGACTTACGAGTGCTCCGACTAACGAGTTTTTCGAGATACGAGCCTTCTCTCGGTGGATTTTTTTGCTTTGAGTTGCGAGCTAAAATTCGGGTTACGAACCAGCTTCAGATACCCCACCGCTAGTTGGCGCAGCGAACGTCACAGTGAACGCCACAACATCAGTCCAGCATCACGTGTCTTACTCGTTCATTTTATGATTTGACATACGAGTAATTTGAGTTACGAGCTCCGTCACGGAACGAATTAAACTCGTAAGTCAAGGCCCCACTGTAGATTGTAGGCTTTCTGAACCCCCAGTCCTGCCTGCCCTCTGGGAAAAGGCGTGCCTCTGCGCTAGCTTATAGGTCTGTTTGGGGGCACCTGCCTCGCTCTCACAATCGGATAGGTGGTGCCGTGTAGCCAAACAAGAGTGTTTAGGGGAGACCAGGTGCTAATCATCTTTGTGTCTGCGGTGCCCAGCTCAGCGCCTGTGCACGGTTGTTCAATGAATGAAAGAACTGATTGGACGAGTGATGACGTTTCTGTATACTCAGTAATTGTCCATTCTAGAGAGATATTCATCACGTTTTCTACCAGGTGCTCAGTACTTCCGGTCCTGATTCCACCTTCAGTCTCCTCCTGTTCCACCTGCTCTGTCCAATACTCTTGTATTTTCTAAAAGTGCTTTTCTTTGACCAGCCCTTTACCCCTCTTGCTCAAACCCAGGCTTCAGCCATTGTTGTCCTGGGTGGGAGAGAAAGGAGGAGGGGAAAGCTTGCTGACCTCAGACCTCACTGCCTGCACATTGATTCCAAACTCCATCTCCGTCCAACTGTGCTCCCTCTCAAACTGTGCGTGTGTGCTTGTGACTGTGTGTGCATGTGTGCGCGGGCATGTGTGTGTGCATGCATCTGTATGCCCAGTATTTTCCCCATTCATCTTGTTCTCCGAGGCTTGAGAGCCCTTTCTAGATCAATCCACTAATTTGCCTTCTGCCTCAAAAGTTGGTTGGTCTCTCATCCATCTAAGCATCGCTCTGCGGAAGACCCTCTTGGTAACATGTTCAGACCCACGTAAAAACGACATTGGACAAGATGCTGCGGCTGGTGGCCCTGGGAAGGGGATGGGGCACATCAGTAGCCGAGTCCATCACCACCCAGGTTCCCTGTGAGCCTTACCTGCCCAATGTCGATAGCAGGGTTCAGACTGCAGCCAACATCCATGACGATGTCTGTGCGAAGGTTCTACAGTGGACAGGGAAGTAAAAGCAGCTTGAGAAGAAGGGGAAGTGTGGAATGATAGGTGGGTCTCGGTAACCCTAGACCAGTGGTGGCGAACCTATGACACGCATGTCACTCATTTTTTTGGTTGATTTTTCTTTGCTAAATGGCATTTAAATATATAAAATAAATATCAAAAATATAAGTCTTTGTTTTACTATGGTTGCAAATATCAAAAAATTTCTATATGTGACACGGCACCAGAGTTAAGTTAGGGTTTTTCAAAAGGCTGACACGCCGAGCTCAAAAGGTTCGCCATCACTGCCCTAGACTATGAAGTGCCAACCCGGATGGTACTTCCGCAAGCGGAGCGCTCTGGGCATGCTCAGGCAGTCCCCAGTCTCCACTGCCACTGTCACTGCTGAAGTTTGAGTTCTTAGAGCAGCTGGGGAAGGGGTGGGAGTGACCAGGGTCTCAGTAATCCAAAATAACTACACACACACCCACGTGTGAGTGGGAGGGACAGGCTTGCAGTCCCTGGGGCTTTGAACCTGAGTCTGGGAAGCTCATGGAAGGAAGGAGTCAACACACTACGTTCCATGGGCTGAATCTAGCCGGTCCCCTGTCTTTGTACAGCCTGTGAGCTACTAATGGTTTTCACATCATTAAATAACAGACAGAAAAAGAATATGTGGTGACGTGAACACTGTGTGAAATCCACATTCAGTGTGCGTCAGTAACGCTTTAGGGGCGCACAGCCACACTCATTTTTTTCCATAGTTCTTGGCTGTTTCGTGCTGCAAAGATAGCGTTGAGGCAGTGTCTTCGTGGCCCCAAAAGCCTCAAGTTTTTACTCTCTGGTCCTTTAAAGGAAGTTTCCCAAGCCGTAATATAAGGCATTATTTTCCCAACCAGAGTTTGTCTTTGGTATTATAATTGAGTTGTTTCTCTTCTTTCCCCCCCTTAGTACTGAACACTTGGGTTGCGGGAAACGAGTTAAGTCGGCTCGCGTGAATTGCGCGTACTCCGCGGGAGCCGTCTTAACTCGGTTCATATAGATTTGCGGTGGAGTGCGGGAAACGTGTAAACTCGGGCCGATTGTAACTGCGTATTACCAAATATTTGTTTGTTTGCCGTTCACAAAGATACCTACCTGTGTATGCGAACCGTTTCATACCCATTGGGGTAATAGGTATCATAAAAATCCCTTGTAAGTAGAGAACACTTTACTTTACCTAAATAATTGCCCACGCCATCTTATATTTTGGCGGGAAATTCACCCGACACCGTAGTGTGAAGTTTTGCAAACATCTTACCTTATGGTCCCCTGTTAAGCAGTCAATTTCCACTTCCGAGCAAGCCACCCCGTAGGTGAAGTAGTGGAAGGGTTTCCCTGAGTTGGTCTCAAAGCTGTAGCCAACGTTGGGTGTTCTGGGGGAGAAAAGAGAAGATACTACATGTGTATTAAAATGAATATGTCCCCCCCCCCAAAAAAAAACACACAAATGGCTTGTCCCACAAAATCTTAAGACCCAAAGGCTTTATTTTTTTCATTCAGCTGTTCTTCCCAGTAGCCCATGTGCTGTGGACATTTTAACCTGTGAATGAAACCCAGGAATTCCAGAGCACTGATTTGTTTTGCCAGTGACCCTCGGGTGACTGAGCGGTGTTTAGAGTCAGCGTGCTGGCCTCTACGTGGTGGAAACTGACAGAGTTCTCCCAGCTCACGAAGGACGTGAAAGTCACACGCCAGAGGATCTATGAGCTAGAATTCAAGATCTCAGAACCGAAGGCTCCTGCGCTGGCTCCTGGGCTGTTCCCACAGGCTCACCTGCCCTTCTTCCTCAAGGTGGAAATTAACAAGATCAGTATCTCAGGCCAGCCTGGGTGCACTTTTAAGTAGCCTCTTGCCTGTGTTACTCTTCTTCTATTGGTCCCTTCTAAATTTCAACAAATGATTTGAGGAAAGTGTTATTAATAAAAGCAGATGGCCTCTTACATTTTTTCTTCTTCAATCCTATCTTCTATAATTCTAATTTTGCGTGAGTCCCATATATGTGTGTGTGTACATGTGTGTGTATATTCTCACACTAGAGTTTATAGTAATATCTATGGTATTCTATACATTACACAGAAATTATGTGAGCTAATGTGACCAGAATCTGCATGAGAAGAACACCAATGCAGGGTTGAGGGAGAAGGCTTCTCCCAGGGGAAACCACCACTGTCTTTGACCTCTGGCTTCCCCACCTTCATCTGGGTGTTTCTGTATATAACCCCAGTTTATCAACTCCAAAAATGGAATGTGAATTTGTGAGAAAACCTGCACTAGCTTATGTTTGTGTACGCCAAATGTTATATAACCCAGGGAGCACTGGCAAAACATTACTTTGCCTACAAAATAAAAATATATATTTACAAAAAAGACCTTTTGAAGTAAACATTGAACTGTTTGCCAAATCTATTGATCTATGAAAGAAAAGGTCCTCATTAAACTTCCCAGAGAAAGCTAAAATGTTGTGGCTGACAAGTCGATAAGATCCTGTCTTTTTACAGCTTCTAAATCAGATGGGCCGGGTCTCTAATTCTTCATGCAGCTACTGAATTTTAAAGTTACACAAGGTACATGCTCTTTTCTAAATCTCGCTTTAAGTTCTGTTGAATTTCACATCTTGTAACAAGACCGTATGCTCTAAATCTTCCCCTCATTCTCTTTTTTGTTTTTGTTGATTTTTTAGAGAGAGAGGGAGGGAGAGAAATAGAGAGATGGAAACATTGATGAGAAACATCAATCTGCTGCCTCCTGCATGCCCCCTACTGGGTATTTAGTCCAAAACCTGGGCATGTATCCTGACCAGGAATCAAACTGGTGACTTCTTGGTTCATGGGTTGATGCTCAACCACTGAACCACACTGGCCAGGCTTCCTCTCATTCTTTTGAAGTAAAGTCTCCATAAAGAAATCCAATGCATGATAAAAGGAAGGAAGGAAGGAAGGAAGGAAGGAAGGAAGGAAGGAAGGAAGGAAGGAAGGAAGGAAGGAAGGAGAAAAGAAAAGAAAAGAAAAGGAAAGAGAAGAGAAGAGAAGAGAAGAGAAGAGAAGAGAAGAGAAGAGAAGAGAAGAGAAGAGAAGAGAAGAGAAGGAAAGGAAAGGAAAGGAAAGGAAAGGAAAGGAAAGGAAAGAAAAGAAAAGAAAAGAAAAGAAAAGAAAAGAAAAGAAAAGACAAGAAAAGAAAAGAAAAGAAATCTAATGCATAGTACAAAGTAGCATGTGTAGGTAACTCAGAACATAGGACGCCCTGGTTGTCACAGGGGAGTGCTGACAGAGGAGTGGTTGGTAACTGTCCCATTCTGTCATAAATGAAGTTACAGGTTCAGAGGGAACCACTGATTTCCCCAAGGGCAATAGTCCACTAAGACCAGAACTAGAATGGGGGTCCCTGATATGGCAGCTCATGCTTTTGCCTCCTGGGCATGTAGCTTGGTAACCCCATGTATTTTAGAGCATCTTTACGTTGAAATGAGTGGAAGTACGCTGAAGAGGTCAGAGTTTTGGTGGAACTGTTCTCTCCTGACCACAGGCTGATAGAATTCAGGATTAGGAAGGACCTGAGAGGCCAGAATGACAGCACGTTGTGAGATGGGTGAGATCACCACCGTACATACTTGTAAAACCCAGTAGCAGACAAGCTCACTGCATCCTGGTAGGCGGCCTTGACCTGAGGAGAAAAAATGGCCATCAGGAAGGGGTAAGCATGGTTTCCAGTAACCATGACCCAGGACAGCCTTTGTATGCTCATCCTCCTCATCTGGAAGTTGATCAACCCTTGACTGGTGACTCTCACTTCCACACCTCACCTCACACCCTCACCACCACCCCCTGCATCAGGTCCTTGACATCAAAGCCTGGAGCACTACAATGGTCTCCTAACTGGTCTTCCTGCCTCAAGTTGCCTCCCCCTACTGCTGTGTAACCCAGCCCAGCCGAGTGATCATCTTAACATACTGCACTGCCCATGTCACTCTCCTACTCTAGAGCTTTCAATGACTCCCCATTGCCTAGAGAGCAAATACCTGATGTTAAGGACTCCCGTCTTCTCTGGTGTAGCACACACACCATTGCCACTCTTCCATTGCCTCGGTCTTTACAACAGCAACTCTCTACATTGTTTATTTGATGCCTGTGTTCGTATTGGTACTTTCCTATTAATAAAGCTATCTATCTATCTATCCATCCACCCTATCTCCTAAACTACATACATTCTCTAGGGCAGTGGTTCTCAACCTTCCTAATGCCGCGACCCTTTAATACAGTTCCTCATGTTGTGGTGACCCCCAATTTCATTGTTACAAATTGAACATAATTAAAACATAGTGATTAATCACAAAAACAATATGTAATTACAAATGTGTTTTCCGATGGTCTTAGGCGACCCCTGTGAAAGGGTCGCGACCCACAGGTTGAGAACCGCTGCTCTAGGGTATCCCTAGCACTGGCACAGCACTAAGATTTAATTTATTGTTGCTACAGTTTGCATCATGATTATTGTCAATAATAAAGCTCTTTACTATGTATCAGATGCTATTGAATAATTTGCACACATCATCTGACTTAATATGCAGCACAACCCTGTAAAATCAGTATTCTTATTATCTTCATTTTATAGATGAGAAAACAGAGGTTTAGAAAAGTTTCTTTAAGATCCTTACCATATGTATATGGAATCAAATATATGCATATATAGTGGTAGTGGTAGTAATGGCTTATTTTCAATACAGTACAGACTCAGTAGGAGATTTGGTGCCTATCATTCCTAATCATGTCTTTTTGATCGTGGCCTTTTTTGAGGTTATCTGCTTATAAAGAACACTGGACTATACAGCTCATGGTTGAGGACAAAGCTCAGGTCAACAGATTGTAAAGGCTGTTGTTGAAAACGTTAACATCACCTTCCAAATCTACACTAAAACCTAAACTACCCAAATCAACCTCCCTCTGTGAGGTATTTATGTGTGTGGTGTTATGAGTATGGGAAGGGAAGGAGAGGTTATGGGAGGCTGAGTAAGATGAGAAACATCCATCAGCTGCCTCCTGCATGCCCCCAAAAGAGTTCATTTTTTGAACCTATTGTACTATCATGTGCAGTCACATATTATGTGTCATTGCTGTGCCCAGTTCTCCCATTCTGATACAGGGAATGGTGAAGCAGGGCCACCATTAATAGTTCTGCATCTTGGAGAAGCTAAAGTCTCCCACCTGAGAGCCTTCCTGCAGCTTCCATCCCAGGGTTTCTCACATGCAGGCCTCCCAACCAGAAATCAGAGAATCGGGTTCATTCTTATTAGGAGTGCTTGTTGTGTGACTCCCTAAACCACAGGAATGATATAACCCTTGTACAATGTCTTCCTCCCGCTTCCTCACAGATGGAATCTCAGTGGACCCGGACTCCAAAGATGGGTAAGGGGAGAGGCTGGTAGGGGCAGACCTCTGAGAAAAGGAGTTTGAAGAAAACCCAGCTGATCAAGCCTGTGGACGAATGAGGTGTGGGACTAGGCCAAGGGAAGAATTCACAGTGAGGTGTGTTTGCTGAGCCTGTCTCCTGGGGCTCAGGATAGCCAAACCCCTAATTCCCACAGAGCTATCAAAATCCTGGGTCAAACATTTTTCTCAGTGACTTCCCTCAACTGTGAACACCACTGAGAAATGGGGTCCAGCAAGAGTGAGCATCTACTTGTCCTGCGAAAGCATGCAGACTCCCTCAACTTCTCCCCACTGTGTGACTAGATCAACACCTCCTATTCCTGATCTTCATTTCACTCTCATTTGCAAAAGCAACTTGGAGAAGCTCAGACTTACCCAGTCTTCCCAGGAGCCATTGGGGTTCTTTCTCTTGAAGGGCTCCAGCCTCTTCAGGATGGTCTGACAAGCTTCCTAAAGAACACATCCACCACACACCAGACCCGTCAGCCCTCTGCATGCCCCAGCACAGGGAAAACCTGAGAGCCTCCACCGAGCCACCTCCCAGGGATGCTGTGCCCAGGGCGCCATTCAAACAGTCTTGTCACCCTCTAAGACAGCGGTCACCAACCGGTGGTTCATAGACCACTGGTGGCCCATGAGGTCCGAAGGTTGGCGACCGATGGTTTAAGAAAACTGTTGAAGCAGCAGTCGCCAAACAGTGGTCCGTGGACCACTAGTGGTCTGTGAGGTCCAAAAGGTTGGTGACTGCTGCTCTAAGACATCACCGAGGATAGGGTGGAAACCACTACTAGACCCTTCTCAAGGGATCACCACTGTCCTGTGCTTGGAGAGCACTTCCTAAGCCAGTTCTCACACTGACAACAGGTAAAATGCTTGAGGGCTCTCTAAGGAGGTACTGTCTCACATTTGTTTGATGATATCCTCCACCTGGGAGAGAAAGCAGGTAGGTCTGACCTGGCCCACCCCATTTCAATCTCAGCCCACTGTCCAGTGGCCAGTTCTCACACCAAGAGTATGTCTCCCCAGAATCCCCTGTATTTCTCCAACTCTCCTCCCCCTCCTCCCCTCATCCTTCCTGACTCTGATGGACGTGATGGTGGTTCTCTCTTTTAGCTCAGCATTTGGAGGAGCAGGGTTCTGCTCAGTAAGAGAGCCCAAGGCATGGTCACAGCCAAGAGCCTGCAAGGACCACTCCAGATCCCATCCCAGGGACTCCCTGGGCCCAAAGCCCTGGTCCGGCCCTCCGCTCCGCTGGTTCCTGAGGCTCCTTACATAGACGGCCTGTCCGTTGATGTCAGTGCTGACAGAGGCGGCCGTGGGAGAGGTGTTGGGCACTGTACTAGTGCTGGTCTCGCTGATGTAAATCTTAGAGGTGGGGATCTTCAGAGCTTTGCCGGCCACCTGTGAAGAAAGACGACATACATACGATAGAGAAGATTCTTTAAGAATGTTCCTTTAGGGAAGGGGAGAGCATGGGACTGGCTGCCTTTCCCCGAAGACAGGATTTAGGTTCACAGGTACAGGCAAGGAGACAGTTTTGTAAACTATAATTCTACTGAGGCTGGAATGTTCCCATGTCTGCTTGAACTTGAAGCAGCACTTTATGGAATGGTTTGGGTGGAGAAAAAATTTTTAAACCTCATGGTGATTAAAGTGCCTTTTAACAAAGTGGTAGTTACAATATAATCCCGGGGATGTAAATTACAGCATAGGCAATATAGCCAATAATATTGTAATAACTATGTATGGTGCCAGGTGGGTACTAGAAAAATCAGAGGGAACACGTTGTAAAGTATATGATTGTCTAACCCAGTGATTCCCAAAGTGGGCACTACCGCCCCCCGGTGGGCGCTGCAGCGATCCAGGGGGGCGGTGATGGCCGCAGGTGCATTTGGGGGCGATGAGTAACTGCTATTAAAATTTTTAAAAAATTAATTTCCAGGGGCTGAGTAATATTTTTTCTGGAAAGGGGGCGGTAGGCCAAATAAGTTTGGGAACCACTGGTCTAACCACTGTGCTGTACACCTGAAACTATTACAAAATAACATTGAATGTAAAGTGCAATTGAAAAATAAAATTTTTGTAAAGTGCCATTTAAAGCTAACCCTTATTTAAAAAAATCCCATTTGGCCAGTCCCCAGGAGCCAAGCAGGTGTGCTCACTCTCATCCAGCTCCACCATCCAACTCCACTGTGAGGCGGCTCACTTGTGCGGAACTAGCTACCTTTATATACACAACACCCACCTTACACATAGTCGCAGAACCCTAGAGTGTTGGTGACGGAAGTGACCTCAGACAACACAAGGCCAACCCCTTGGCACAAATGAGGAAATCCTTGCTCAAGGTCACATTTAAAGGGGCAGCAGAGCCAGGGCCAGAGTCTAGGCCTGATTCTGCTCCTGGGATATCCCATCCCTCAGTTTCTCCCAGCATCTCCCCTACACAGATACCACAGTCCGCAGGCCGCTCACCTGTACCATCTTGGTGTGGAGACCCTGGCCCATCTCAGTGCCCCCATGGGTCAGCAGCACGGAGCCATCTGTGTACACATGAATCAGGGCTCCTGCCTGAGGGGAGAGAAGAATGCCAGCCACAAAGGTAGTCAATTCTAGTTCAGCTTAAGGCTTGAGACAAAAGGTACTGCAGCCCAGGGAAAAGAGAACCAGCAGCAACATTTTGGATATAAACTCCCGACAAAAATTAAAGCAGTATAAATCTCATGGTTTAATTAGGCAACCCTTCAGCACTTTGCAAAAATTCTTTAGCTCTCGCTCTCTCTGCCTCCCATCCTCAGAGGGAGGGAGGTTAAATATCTTTGTCCTCCCTCTATAAATGAAGAAATAAGATCAGAAGCCGAGTAACTGTCCATGGTCCTGCAATCAGGAAGGGTGAGAACTAGAATTTGACCCCAGGTCTGAGTCTCAGGCTGTCCTGTGGCATACTGTACAAATAAAGGATATGCAAATTCATTTACACAGCAAAGAGCTCCTTAGTCAGCTCTGTTAACAGGGCCAGTTGGCTTTCCCTTGCAAAGAGGGGGAAATGGGGCCCCAGTCTCCTGGAAATGGACAGAATTATATAAAGCAATTACCTGATTCAGAAAAGGAGTAAGGAAGGATATTCCAAACTTGGTAGGAATTATGCACAGTCCTCTCTTTTTCCAACAATTCTCCCTGGAGAAAAAGGAACATTCTCATAGTATCTCCTCTATCCTATTTTCGTCTGGTTGAACAAGTTTTCTGGCAATAGTTTAAAATTGATATTAGGCATCCTCAGAGCTGCCCAAAGAGTCAGTGTGATATCTGCATTGTGTGGACAGAATGGGAAAGGCAGGGATTTGGGTTCTGGGTCCTTCAGTGCAACCGGAGCAGGGCCCGCCCCTGAGCATCTGACTTGAAAGAATCATCACTCTTCTTCCCCAAGTGGAATTCAGATTGGGTCAGACTGTCCTGGTGACCTTGGACTGTGCTCATCCCAGGGAAGGACTGGGGCTCACTGATGATAATGATAGCACCTCCTCTGTGCTTTATATTTGGTTTTCCCAATAATTTAGCAAAGAAGACAGAGCCAGCAGAATTACCCCCTTTGTATATGATGAAACTGAGGCCCAAGGAGGTGGGGTGACTGCCACGGTGACATTTATAGATTAGTGTTATAGGCAGGTGCATAACTGTGGCATTCTCAGTCCTGGGCTGGTGTCTATGGAATGTGGTATGACCAGGAGGCAGACAAAGATGAAAAAATACCACACTGAGGAGTTATGACATCGAATGCAGGCTGAGCCCACCTGCCCCGGGCTAAGATCATTTCACAATCTTAAAGGGATGCCTATGAACGAGTTGGCAAATACAGCAACCTCATAAGTTATTCATTAAACTATTAGCTTTGTATTCTGAGTTCAGCAAAAAGGCCGTAGAATATAAAACGCCTCCCCTCCCAGCGCTTACTTGTTGAACTTGTCAACCTCACTCTTCCGAGCGTGATACTGAGAGCTTGCCAGACATTCATCCCAGCACCTGGGCAAGGTGAACCCCTCAAGCTTCTGGTCGAAGTATGTCAGGTCCCCTTCTTTGTACATGTTCTTCCTCCGCACCTTCCCAAGGAGAGAGACACTGAGGCCTTGTTGGCGTGAGATGAGGGCAAATCCTACAGTTAAGCTTCCGGCCCCTCTCATCAGCCCCTGCCTGTCCTCTGTCCCCAGGGGAGATACCCAAAACACAAAGTAGGCTAGCCCACTCTGACCTGTGCCACCAAATTCCCGGCTTACTTCCTCAGCAGGCAGCCCACAGGTCACTGCAACTTCACTCATCCAGTGCTCGGCAATGAGCATCCCCTGGGGCCCCCCGAAACCCCGGAAGGCCGTGTTGGAGGACAGGTTGGTCTTGCATAGCCGCCCAGTGCCCCGGATGTTGGGGATTTTGTAGCCATTGTCCATATGGAGTAGAGTTCGCTCCATTACCTAAAGCAGAGGGAGCCAAAATGGGATAGAACAACTTTTTTAGTTTTTATATTTGCATGACAAAAAGTTTTATTGGACAGCATTGCTACAGACAAATAAAAATGAGCAATCTGGGTCTGCATGTTTCAAAATATATAATCTCAAAAATGTAAGGTTGATAGGAAAAAGGAAGCAAGTTGCAGGAGGACAACTAGAGTATCCTCCCATTTAAATAGGTTGAAAGGATTGGATTATAGTTGCCTTCAGGAAGGGAAGTGTGTGGTGAGAGATGAAGTGGCTGGGGGGCTTCTCATATATGTCCTTTGCATCTTTTAAATTTCAAACCATGCAATTGTATCATCTAGTTAAATATATTAAGAGAAGTCTCCTGGCCCCCAACCAATTCAAGAAAAAGGCCCAATGTATGTACAGTCTATTTGGACTTTGGCAAAACCATATTTATTAGTTATTTATTGAAATCTTCTCATTAGGTTATCTAAAAAAAAGTAATCCTATGTTTCTTCTCTGTGATATTCTTTATCAGCTATTTAATTAACATCCATATTTCTAAGCATGTGCTTATATTGCCACCCCTAACTTTTCCAGTTGTAGACTTTTGAGGATTTAATTTCCACCAAACCCACTTCCCCTGAATGCACACCTACTTCCTGTCCCCTGTCCTTCCCATATAGTTATATTTCTATCTGATCAACAGTCAGTTTAATGCTATGATTACTTCTCTTGCTTGATAACATTTCCCCCTGGAGTTTATAATTTTTGGCTTTATTTTTCCACTTGCTTAGTTCTCTGGGCATTTATTACTAAGTCAACTTAAAAATGTATGCTCATCAGTTTGGGGAAACTGCTTGAATTACTTCTTGAGAGTTTACTTCTCTCTTTTTTCCATTCTTCCCTTTTGAATTTCTACTATATAGATCTTTTGGACTGGCTCTCAATTTTTTCGTATTTTCTCTCCTTTTATTTCCACATTATTTTCTCTTTTGGGGGCAGAGCTCCTCCATGTTCTTTCAAAACTTCTGCTTCCACGGTTATGATTCACAGGAGTTCATTTTTATTCTCTGGCTGGTCCATTTTTATAGCATATTGTTCTTTCCTTAAGGTGTAATAACTCATCTCTCTGAAGCCATAAATGGTAGCTTTTATTTGTTTCATTTGGGTGTGGGTTTTATTAGTTTGAATATATATATATATATATGTTTCAGAGAGGAAGGAAGAGGGAGAGATCAATAATGAGAGAGAATCACTGATCGGCTGCCTCCTGCACGCCCGCACTGGGGATCAAGCCCTGACCTGGAATCGAACAATGACCTCCTGGCTCATAGGCAGACGCTCAACCATTGAGCCACGCCAGCTGGGCTGTTTCATTTGGGTTTTAGCTTACTTCCTCACACAGTTTCTCTTTCCCACAGGTTGCTTTTTGTGTCTAATTATTTCAGTCCTAGTCATCCTAAACAATTTTTGTATGTCTCAATTCCCTCTTTGCTTTTCCTTTGCATGCTATCAACTTACACTTTTATTTTCTCTTGTCTGTTATTATCTGTCTCCCTCACCATGCCGGGAACTTCCTGAGGGCAGAAACAATGCTATATGCTTTCTCATGTTGCCACCCTAGGCACTTGATAAATATTTGCTGGATTGAATTTAAAAGCTTGTAAAATCTTTGGGGACAAGTACTACATCTTTTTCAATCTGATTTTTCTACAACACCAAGAAGCCAGTGTTATGAACTGTAAGAACACTAAAAATATTTCCTTTTTTGAGCAATTTTTACAGCAGAGCTGAAGTGTGAAGTTTCCTAATTGAGCCGATTAGAGAGCTCCTAGCAGAGAGGGGTTGGGGAGGTGGATAGTGAAAAACTTCTGCTTTTCCTGAAATGTTTGACTTTTTCTTTTTTTACAATATATTTTTATTGATTTCAGAGAGGAAGGGTGAGAGAGATAGAAACATCTATGCTGAGAGAGAATCATTGATTGACTGCCTCCTGCACACCCCCTACTGGGGATCGAGCCCAAACCCAGGCATGTGCCCTTGACCTGAATCTAACCCGGGACCCTTCAGTCTACAGGCCAATGCTCTATCCATTGAGCCAAACCAGCTAGAAATGACTTTTTCTTTACAACAAGAATCTATGCACATGTAACTAGTATGGTTATAAAATTAAGGTGTTTTTTTAAAAAAAATTTTAAAAGGAGTACCACCAAGATAACTTAATTTTCAAGGTTGACAAAAATATGTCTATACAAGACTCTTAGGAGAATGTTCAAAGCAGCATTAGCCACAAAAGCTAAAAACTGGAAATAACCAAATGTTCAACAAGTAGTTAATAGAAAACCAAATATGGTCTATATCAAGAAATATTATCTATCAATAAAAATGAATGGAGGAACGACGCATGCTATAACATGGATGAACTCAAAAACATTATTCTGAGAGAAAAAAGCCATCAGATACAAAAGGCTACATAGTGCATGATTCCAGTTATTTGAAAAGGAAAATCTACAAAGACTGAAAGTGGATTAGTGGATGTCTGGTCCTGGGCATGGGAACAAGAGTAACTGCAAATGGGCACAAGAGGTCATTTGGAGGTGACCAAAATGTTCAGAACCTGGATGGTGATGATGGTGCATGACTTTAAAACCATGAAATTATATCATTCAAATGGGTGAACTTTATGGTATGTAAACTATATTTCCATAAATTGTTTTTTAAAAAGTAACTCAACTCCTTATTTAAAATTCAAATATCACAGAAATGTGCAGTGTAGAAAATGACAGTGTGTGTCCCCCTCCGCCCCCTTAACCCATCCAATCACTGTTTGGTGTATCTCCTTCAGACTTTTCCATGCATATCGCTAGACATACATGCACACACACACAATGTCACCATATTATATATGAAGTTTTGTAACTAACTTTGCTTGCTTGTTAAAATATCTTGCACAAGAAGGATGAGTTTCCAATCAGAGAAGAAAGATGCTCATCTTTGTGCTTTAGAGATTAACCAAGGATGGGGAATCTTTGAAGGCAGGGACCAGTTGGGAAGCTATTGCAACATAACAGGCAAGAATGGAGGAGGTGTGTACCTGGCTGTATGAATAGGTTGGCGTGGGGCACGCGCACTTAAGCTCCCAGTCACCCCGACGTGCAGGAAGAGGCCCTACTTACACCCCTAGAGAGATCCAGGGAGTTCCCGGCATTGCTGTAGTGCTCCACCTCCAGGGCGACAATCTTCCCCGTCTTCATGAAGCCAACCTGATGAGAAAGAGAGTGGTTTCCCAACAGTCCCCTTGCTCTGTCTATCTCTACCTCTCCCCTCCCACCTACGCTGCCTGGGGGAAACAGAAAGAGCAAGACACCACACCATGAAAAAAGGTGAACATAAGACATCATCAGAACCAGAAGAAAGGAACTAACATCTCCCCAGGGACGTACCCTGGGCTCAACCCTGGAACACCTTCTCCCCACACTCCTCCTCCTTTCTACCTACTCCTGCCTTCTGGTTCTACCCCTGTCTATCTCCACCTCTCCCCTCCCACTTTTGCTACCTGGAAAAATATAGAAAATATAGTGTTGGTAATGACAGGGCAGGCAGGAAGGACTGGGAAAAGAAACTGGGAAAGTGGCTGGTGTCTCTCCTCATAGCTTTTGACCAGAAAACAATAAAAGCTACACTTTACAAGAGCTTCAGCGTGCTCTGACACCCCTCACCATACGTAATCATCGAAACAAACTCTTAAGGGTCACTTGATAAGTGAAGAAACTGGGACCCCCAAAAACCAAGTCACTTTCTTTAAGCCCACAAGAATTAAGAGAAATATAATCCCTTTGGGGAAGTTCAATCATGAAACAATGAGAAGAGTTCAAAATGCAGGTGTTCAAAGCCAGCTCGTGGAGAGAGAGGACGCCCAAGTTCACAGAGCTAGACTGGAACCTGAAAGGTGGTACTGGTGTGCAAGGGGACAGGATTCAGGGTCAGAACAGGAACTGGTCACCCAGAAAAGGCCTGTCTTATAGGGAAATTGGCCAATGCACAGCCACACGTGATCTGGCAAAGCAGGTGCCCACCCTACCAACGTGTGCCTCTAACAACTTGTGCCTGTCCAGGCCCTGGGAAGTTTTGTTTCTTATTGTAAAATATTAAGTAGTCATTCTGGTTTTCACAACCAGCTGTGAACACGTTAACATTAGACCATCCTGCAGGAAGGATTTTCCCAGGTCTGCTGACCAATTATGTTTCTGAACCTGAGTGGACAAAAACTTTCATAAAAGTTGGGACCACCACCCTGTGACACTAGGAGGCCTGCCAGCATCCACAGCATCACCCCTCTATGTTGGCCAATATGAATGTCTCCGGTGGCTATTTCTTCTTACAACTTTTACAGATAGTCCTAAGAAAAGTGAGAGTCCATCCTAAGGAAGTGGCACTGCCTGCCCTGGCACAACCCCCAACATCTGGAACCTTGTATCTGCCCAGGTAGGGATGTCTGCCGCCAGTGATCAGCATGTCCTCATCACGATCCAGCATGCAGCGTACAGGGCGGCCAGTCCTGAGGGAAACACCCAAGGGTAAGAAAACTGGGGTCCCCCCAAACAGCCCAGCCCTGTGACTCTCGGGGGCGAAAACAGCAGGGAAGTCTTCTTTGTCCACCTGGTACACTCAGCACCCCGGCTTTGCTGTCTAGGCCCTGGGCCCGACAAGGTGGGGAATGCAGGATGTGAGCAGTGTCCTTGTCCTCAGGGCCCCCACAGCCAGGTTGGGAGATAAGGACACAGGCATCTGAACACTAAGAACCACGTGATGTTATCTTCACCCTATGCCCCAAAGTTCTAAAAACCGAAGGCTGTGAAAATGAAAAGCAGCCGAAACCGGTTTGGCTCAGTGGATATAGCATCGGCCTGCGGACTGAGGGGTCTCAGGTTCGATTCCGGTCAAGGGCATGTGCCTGGGTTGCGGACACATCCCCAGTGGGAGATGTGCAGGAGGCAGCTGATCGATGTTTCTCTCTCATCGATGTTTCTGGCTCTCTGTCTCTCTCCCTTCCTCTCTGTAAAAAATCAATAAAATATATTTTAAAAAAAAGAAAATGAAAAGCAAAGAGAATCTACTTCCCAAAGAGGGAAATCCAGAAAGCCTTCCTGGCAGAGGCAGCCTTCTTCTTCCCAGAGCCCATGGGGAGGACTCACTTGTGTGCAGCCAGGGCTACTGCTGTGGACACCAGGGTGCTCCGGGTCTCCTTCCCTCCAAAGCCTCCTCCCATTCTCTTCACTCGGACCACAATCCGGTTTGCTGGAACCCCCAGCATGTTTGCAACAAAGCTCTGTGGGCAAAAGAAAACATACTTGCTCTGAACACATCATCTGGACTTACTTCAGCTTTCACCCAAAGCCTGCCTGATAAGAACAGACCTAATTACTGGTGCGAATCTGAAATTCCCAGATTCGAAAGGTGCTGACCCTTGGGTAGTGATGCTGGGGTCCAACACTAATCAGTCACTGAAGACTGAATTCAGGCACTTGCTTTTAACCAGAGGGGCAAGCAGCTAGTCACAGCTACTTTCAGAGCAAAACTCATTCCATTGAGCCAGGAACTGGTGGGTCATAAGTATAGAACCGGCTGCCAAAAATGCTGGCATCCACTGTCACATAATAGGCAGTATAGAAGTGAGGACTATTTAAGCTGCTGCAGATAATTTAGTGGTTCCTGTAGCTATCACCCAACCCCTTCATTCTACAGACGAGGAAGCTTAGGCCAGATACAATGTGACCAAGGCCATATAGCACTGGAATCACAATAGCTAACACTAGGCTCTATCCAAGTATTAAGACCCATCGAATCATTACACCAACCCTACCAGGCCCTATTTTATGGAAGAGAAGGATTTTATAACAAGCTCAGTGACACCAGCTTGTTGGTGACAGGGTCTGGTCCAGGACCACTACTCTCTAATTCCCTTCTGGACCAACCCAGGTCTCCCTCTTCCCATTTCCCACAATGCCAGGAGCTCCCTGGTGTCCTTGCCAGGCCCCTGAGCTGACCCACAGGGCACCCACCTGGGTCTTATTGGTATTCTGTGTGGACACAAAGAGCTCCATCTCCCCTGCCTCGCCTTTTGGGACAGCGATGGTGCAATGAGTCTCCAGGTAGAAGTGATCTTGGCCACCAATATACAACTCACCTGAGGAAGCAACAAGACCCCCACAGTGAGCCTGCTGCTGCAGAGGGGACATGTTTGCTTAAGAAGAGTGTGTACTTGCCAAGTGCCCAAGGCAAGAATCAAGTGCTCACAGGTAACCTCTAGGTTCCCCAACTGGTGTGAAAAGGAGTCTCAGTCTTAGCAATCTGGGAGCTGAACCGCCCACCTCAACAAAGAAACCAGAATGACACTGAAATGCATCCGGCATGAAGCTCTCTTCATGCTGCAGCCAGTGGAAATTGAAGAGATTCAAACTATTACTGTAAAATTTTGGAAAAGATAAAGAAAGAATCAATAGAGGTGATTGGAAAGCTAAAAATACCTTCCAGAACGGAAGCTATCAGGCCAGTTAGTGAGTTAACTTACTAGTGACTTAGCAATGCACAATAGAAACATAGAAAATTCCAAAAGGGGCCTATCTACTCACAACTTTGCCCTGGGGTTAGAGCTATGCACCTGATTTCACAGTGTGGATGGTGGAGGAGAAGGAGGGGGGCAGGGAGAGTGCTAGCTGAAGATGGGTGGGAACGGCCTTTGTGGGGGAGGGGGAGGGCCAGGAGTCCACGTGGTTAAAGGCCTGGCAGATCCGAGGCTGACCAGACATCTGAGGCTGTTACCTTCCCCAGACAGTCTTCCAAATCCACGACACTAATCTCTCTCTAGATCATTTAGGTGTCTCCAGCCTACAGTCAGGAGAGTGGAGAATGACAGAAGTTCTTTCCCAGCCAACTGTCTACTATTTTGTTACAAACACCAGAGGAACTCTTCTGTTCGGAAATGATAGGAAATCCCTTCCCTGCCCCAAGACTCAAGGTACAGCTCTTGAATTTCATTCACAAGCCAGGGTCGGCCCAACCCCACTGCTGCACGTACAGCTGTACCTGAAACAACGTTATCTGCTTCCGAAAACCCCTTCTTGAGGTCTCCTTTCTCGATCTTCAGCTCCGGCCCCCAAAAGGAGTTGTTTTTTATCGCATCCTGAGGATCAAAAAGAAGCTTCAGCGACTTGACTTTCAGAGGGAGGAAGGTGGTTCCTGAGTGCAGAAGAGAAGCTCCCAGAATGGTGGCTCCTCTTTTTTCACACAGGCATCTCTGCAATCTTCTACAGATTTAAAGTAAGCTCACGTGGAGCCCAGAAAGTCAACCCTTTCCTTAGACCAGGGGTTCTCAACCTGTGGGTCGAGACCCCTTTGGCGGTCGAACAACCCTTTCACAGGGGTCGCCTAAGACCATCCTGCATATCACTTATTTACATTATGATTCATAGCAGTAGCAACATTACAGTTATGAAGTAGCAACAAAAATAATTTTATGGTTGGGTCACAACATGAGGAACTGTACTTAAAGGGCCAGAAGGTTGAGAACCACTGCCTTAGACAGAGGTAGACGACCTTAGATCTTGAGGAAAAGCAAAGAATCCCTCAAGGGCCCAAATGGAGCTGAACTTGGGTAGGAGGGACTCAGTGTGGCTGTTAGGCACTAACAGTTAGTGGACCGAGTCTAGGTTTCACAGGACCACTCAATCCCAGGGCCGCAAGAGATTAAAAACCTATCTCGTCAAATCCCACCCGGTGCTAGAATCTCCACTAGAGGATCCTAAACAGTGCGCTTCCAGAGACGGGGGGCTCACCCCTCTCCACAGGCAGCCCATTCTCATTACCTCAATGGAGATAATGGCTGGAAGTTCTTCATAGGTGATTTTCACTCCTTGAGCTGCTCTCTGTGCGTGCTCTGGGGTGTCGGTGACCACGGCGCCAATGATGTGCCCAACGCAAGTCACCTAGGAGTAGAGCCAGACTATTGAAGAATACCACAAAACCCCTCAAAAACCCAATTATTTTGAATTGTTCAAAAGGGCAAAAAGGAAGTCCCCCATCCCCACAATTTCCTATTAAGACACATCTTAGGAATGCTCTGGGGCCTTTTCGCGTCCTCATTCTATTATTTGGGTTGTGTGCTCCTTTATAAGTGTTTAGAATCTGTGGGAGTAGAAAGGAACTTGGAGATGACTGGTATTGGGATGGCAAACTCACTTCATCTCAAGGGCCAATTCTGATGATTTAATACTGACAGCCTGTTGAGAAGCTGCCCAGGATAGAATGTGGTGATCGATTAGTGATGTCTGCCTTGAGCAGCAGAATGGGAGATATGGCAGTATGACCTGTATCTGTCAACTCAGATCTACTACAACCCCCTTGTTCTTCATACAAAGAGATGGAGACTCAGACAAGACAGCAAGATCACAATTGGCTTGTTCCCAGTCCATGATTAAATCTCGGGCCCTGACTCCCAGTTTTATTTTCCTTCCACCACCCACTCTCTTTCATCTTCTGTTTGCCAGATTTATACCAACAGCTCCTCAAAGGTAGCCATCATCTCATATTTACATAGATGCCCAGAAGCAGTAGTTTCCAAATGCTAGTTCTTAGACTTGATGACTCATAGTTTTTTGTTAGATTTGTAGAATAATTATTCTTTTTAATTAATAGTTCAGTTCCTATAAAAGATTAATTCTCTCCTTCAGAGAGAATTTTCTTTCAACATGCCCCCCCAAATAAGCAACAAACAAAAAATTTGTCTAACTCATCTCTTTGGAAAATGAGGTTTCTGACAATAGGAACCAATACTTAGTATGCCTGTCTCTGATCATTTTTTCTTGAGGACCCTGTTAAGTTATTGACTTAATTGGTTAGTGCAATGGTTGTTGAACCTGAATGACTCTCACTAACCATAATGCTAGCCGTGCTCCTGGGGCTCTTGGAGTTTGTAAAGCAATTGGTTTTTCTATCAAAAGCTCTCCCTCTGGAGTCCTTGTGCCTTGGGTCTACAGCTTTTCTTTTCCTTCTTCACTTTTACAGCAATAATAAGGTGAATTTGCCCTTCAGCAAGACCAATCCACTTCTAATTTGCAACGTTTGGAATTATAAAGTGACTGCTTGAGAACTACTCTGTAAGTATATGGATTTTGTAGCAGCTGTCTTGAATATTTGGAAACTTGTTTTTTGGCAGGATTCCATATATAGTTGAAATCAATATATGGACTTTCATATAAGTGAATTATCAGTACACATATAATGGTGGTATTGTGATTTCTATCTGGTTAGTTTATTTAATGTTTTTTATTTTATTTTAGTAAAGGAACTCAATATCGTACCCTTAAGAATCTGATTGTTAGTCCAAATACAATCACCAGCCTTTTTTTAATGCCACTTTGGCATGGAGTCATTCTACTATGTACAAACAGCAGCCATCAACTAAATAAACAAATAAACATTAAATGAAAATAAAAAGTGCTACCAAGCATATTCTCTCCCTTTACTGATTGTCCTGAATATTGGCCAATTGGATGATGCCAACACGTGCAAATGTATAGTCTTCTCAACATGAGGGATTTGGAAGAATGTGCACAAATTAAAACTTAAATACTCATTCCACTAACTTCATATTTTAAAAATGCAAGCCATACCTTATCCTTCGCAAAGACTGTTTCATCATCACCAAGTCCAGTTGTGTTACTCCCAGGAATATCATCAGCAGAGACAAAGCAAACAAACCCTGGCACCTTCTGAGCTTCTGAAATATCTATGGACCTGCAAGAGAGAGCAGCATGAGGGGTCAGCAGGAAAACCAAAGTGGGAGACCCGCCATCCAACTGTCCTCATTTTGATGGTTTTTCCTCCACCCTAACTTCTCCCTTCTCCACATTCTATTCTATTCTATTCTATTCTATTCTATTCTATCCTATTTTATTAGGCAAGTGTTGATTAAATGCTTACTATATGAAGGCTCCTATGCTGAATCCTGCTGGGAAGATAAGATGAAAAGGACAGTCCTGCCCTCATGGACTTATTACTATGCCCTGTTCCGATGGCCAAGTACAAGGGAACCAAATATAGTGAACAGCAATCTAAATGCTGGCTAAAGCCCACCTCACAGATAATATCTATCCACAATGAGCATGTTAGGGCCCTGCTGTACTCATCCAATGGACCTGAGCATCATCACACAGACAAATTTCTCTCCTCACATGCACAGAGCTATCCCAGAATGGTAGGGCACCCCAGTTATAATTAGACAATTCAGGCCTCCAAGGGAGAATGCATGGAGAGTCCATCAGTTATAACAGTTTGAACTGTGTCCCGCTCACTCTGGCCCATGACCCCATGGGGACATAGAGCAGAGGCACCTCAGAGAAAGGTATGGGAACTGCTCTGTACCAACCAACTTTCAAATAGGTAATCCTCGCCAGAGCCCCAGAAAGTCACTGTCAATGTCCCCACTTTACATTTGGGGAAACTCGAGCTCAGGAAAGTTAAAGAGCTTGTCCAGAGTCACCCAGCCAGAGAGCAGCGTAGCGAGATTGGGACTGGGGTTGAGTGTGAAGAGCGCCAACGTCAGGTCCACTTGTGCTCTACCACACTCCCTTCCAGGTGCCAGCAGTCGGGAGAGCCCCATCACTGCAGTTACCACAGAGTCCCCCACCTCGCCCTCCCACATCCATCCCGACATGGCTGGGACGGAGCAAAGTTGTTTGAGTGGAGACAGTGCCGGTCATGGGACTCTCAGTATGGGCTCAAGACAAGGACAAAGGCAAATGAATTTACCCCATCGCTGGCAACCATATCATCTTAAACAAACTTTTTTTTTTTCAGGGACCTGGAAGAGTTTCCCATTCCTGGGATCTTTTTCCAGTCTAGGAGTGTCAGCAGAGGAAAGACCAATGACAAGGGGACCCGATCCCACATCCATGCCGTGGTAAGACCCCAGGAGGGTCGCTTGTCGCTGGTCTACTCAGTGGGATGTGTCTCTAGGGCTCACCAGGAAATGAAGTCCCATTCTCCATCCTGGACACCCAAAGGCAGCACAGCCCAGTTGCTAATACTGCCTGGCTTCAAACTCTGGCTCTGCCACTTACCAACTGTATGACCTGGGCAAGTCAGTTACCCTGCCTGTGCCTCAGTTTCCTCATCTGGAGCATGTAGAGAATAATAGGACCTGCCTATAGGATTATTGTGAGGAATAAATAAGCCAATATATGTAAAATGCTTTACACCAAAATGTGGTGATTAAGTTCCATATAAATGTTAAGGGGTTTGTTATAATCATTACTATTAATAATAATAATTAATAATAATAACAATAACAACAACAACATAGAGGTGGCATTCTTGCCGTTCAGGCTGTCAAAGTTCCACCAGCAGCTACAAGAGACTGTTTTCTGGTAGGTCCTTTGTGGACACTATCACTAACCCTCACAAACGCATCCTATTACGTACTAGTACATATGGGGGAACTTAGAGCTTAGGCACACAGGCCAAGGTCATGGTTGCTAAGCACCGGAGCAGGCATCTAATCCCAGGTCCCTCACTCTAAGGCCATGTTCTTCCCTTTAGTGCTGACTCAAGTTCTTCTGAAATTTCACATGGAAGTTTAGCCCAATACCCAAAGTGCAGATCTAACCTGATCCTGTCAAGGGCCTTTCCGCAGCTCCTCATTGCTTTTTGGCTCAAGTGTAATCTCTCTGTCCAGCAAATCCAAGGCTTTGCTGATCTGGCCCCTGCTTACCTCTGCAAGTCCACCCTTCACCCTCCTGGCATCCCCAAGCCCCTAACCTCTCCGGCTCCTCTCCAGGCTGTAGTTTTAAGATGATCCCCATCTTCCCCTCTGGACTGACACGGGTACATCTCCAGTGCCTGGCAGGGTGCTCCCAGCGCCCTCCTCTCCAAGAGTATTCACTGTACTCACTTGATCTTGGCGTGTGCCAGGGTGCTGGTGACCAGCCGGAGGGACAGCTCATTCTCATAGCGAGGGATGTCGTCACAGTACACGGCCTCTCCGGAGGCCTGCATGGCCGAGGCCAGGTGGGGCAGGGGCCGGCCCACCGTGTCCTCCTCAGACTGACCCTTGGGCACCTCCTGGAATGACATGGCCACCAGTCAGGCTGAGCTGAGCGGGGGGGATGGGGGGATAGAAAGGGTGTGGGGGAGACACTGTTCTCCTACAGGCCCAGGGAAACCGTGGGGAGTCTCAGGCCAGGCAGCAAAGCAACCCTAAGGAGTGAGAATGGAGGGGCAGGAGGGGAGCCGGCGAAGGAAACAGAACAGCATGTGCTAAGTCGTCGGGAAGGTGGTCACAGGCTCACCACGTACAGGACCGGAAAAAAAACAAGAGAGGAACCTAAATGTCCATTCACTGGGGGTTGGGTAAATAATGTTACTCTCCTATAAAGAATAGTATGCAAATGTGAAAACATACTTTTGAAGAATTTTAATGAGAAGGAAGGAAGCTCGTGTTAAGTGTAACAGGACATAAAGCATTGTGTATGTGTGTATGTAAAAATGATTTGAATTTCATAGTAAAAAAAAAAAGAGCACGTGTTATCAATATAGCATATACATGTCCATATATTCATAAAAATGGAAAGTAAACAAAAATATAATAATGATTTTTCTCTTAGAGGTAAGATTTGGGGTGATTTTCATTTTCTTCTTTAGTCTTTTCTGTATTTTTCAAAGTGTCCTAACATGTGTTCATTTCATAATAAAATTCTGTTTTATGTTTTAAGTAAAACTGGTAATGGCCAATGTTTATTGAATGTTTACTATGTGCCAGGAACTACCTAAGCTATTTACTTTTACTGACACATTCAGTCCTCAAAACTATCCCATGAAAGAGGTACCATCATTGTCCACATTGTGGGGGTAATTAGCTTGCCCAAAGACACAGAGGAATTGAGGATCTTGTCTAAGCTTCCCCGGTTATGTTGGATTCCAGTCCTGGCAGTCGGACCCCAGAGTTCACGCACTAAGCCACTGCATTCTAGTGCTGATGAACTGTGGCCTGTGGGCCAAATCTGACCCACTGCCTGTTTTTATAATTAAAGTTTTATTGGAACACTACACCTTCATCTATGTATTGCCTCTGGCTGTGCCACAATGAAAGAGCTGAGGAGTTGCAACACAGATTATATGGCCCACAGAATCCAAGATGTTTCTAGGAAAATTGACCTTTTATCTAGTACCTCTCAAAAAGCTTCTGCTGATAGAATGTTGTTTTTGTTGTTGTTCTGTTTTGTTTGCTTACATGATCCAGAGAACTCCTGACTCTGCATATTAGTCCCACAGAGGGGCCAGAAAAGATAAAATGGGAGGGAAATTTCTCTTTAAGGAGCAGGTGAAGATGAAAGTAATCCCAGGAGAAAAATTTAGGTGAGTAAGGGGGGAAATAGCTTCCCTACATTAACATAATTCCCATTTTCTTCCCTGGATACTTATGCACAACAGTACGGAGCTTTAAGCACCTACATGCAATTCGAGTAAGTCATTTGCCCATGGTCAGCGTCATCTGATGAACTCTGCAAGGACCCCTGATGTTAGCACACACTGTCTCCACTCACCTGGAAGAGCTGGACATTGGCCGGAGGGTCTTTCTGAAAGAGGAAGGTGGCGCTGGCAAAGGTGGGGTCCAGTTTGCCACATTTCTGCGGAAGCAAGATAACAGAGGTGACCTTGACTATTTCCATCATTGACCCCAACCTTGGTTGTCCCCCAACTGGCAAAAGTAACAACTGTTCCCCTCATCTCCTCATTTGACACTCCTTCTAATACTGGCTGGATCTGTCTCAATACTGACTATCGGCTCTGAGAGCTCAGTATTCACTCTCAGCCTCTGCCTCTCTACCCCCACCACGCCCCCTGCGTAATGAGTGGCACGTACTTCTGCCCACACACCTAATGGCTTCCCTCCTCCCTGCATTTATGCATGCTGCTCTCTGTTGGGCTATTCTCCTCCCAGACTTCCTGGAAAAGTCTTCCTTTTCCTCCTCAATTCTGTGGGAAATATTTAACGATATGGGAAATGTTCACAATATCATCTCAATGGACTCAAGGGGGAAATAAAACTGCATGCAGCATGACCTCGAATTTATTTAGAAAATGATATATCCAGATAAAAAAGATCTTAAGATGGTAGATATATCGATGGATAGAAGGAAGGAGAGAGAGAGAGAGAGAGAGAGAGAGAGAGAGAGAGAGAGAGAGGAGATGGAGTAGACAAACAGAATGAGACAGATGGACAGATAAATGTAGAGGAAAGTTCAGAGGAAGAAGCAAAAATATTAGCAGTGGTTTTCTCTGGTACAATTCAATATTTTTTAAAGTTTTCTACAATAAGTCTTTATTACTTATATAATCTGAAAACATTGCCTCATGAGGATTTTTAAAACAGGAATTTTGCTCTGCTGTCCCCACACCTGTGAAGCCTTCCCTCCTTTTGCTCCTCAGGTTCCATCTCGGCAGTTATCACACTAGACTGGCCTTCACTGACCATGCTCTCTCCACACTCAGCTGCCCCCTGGTGCCCAGTGCAGTCTTACTGTCTAAAAGGTGCAAAATAAGTGCTTGTTGGTGGACCAGTCTGGGGAGCTGGCCCACATCAGCCAGCACCCTCTCCTGACTGTACATCCTTGCAGTGGCTGGAGATGCTCCACTTTGCATACCCCTTCCACGCTCCACATTCTCATCATTCTCTGCGCTCCCATTCCAACTACAAAACCACGGCTGTATCAGCTGTATGGCTGAAGGATCATCTGGTCTACCCGGCCCCTTTTGCAGATTTTATAACTGAGAATTGGAGTTATGACCCATGTAAGTTCCCACTTGAGATAATGACACAGATGGAACAAGAACCCAGGTCCCTGACTCCCAGCCCAGTGCTCTGCCTCTCAGCCACCGAGTTGGATCCCATCTCCGTGTGGCTCCCTGGGCTATGTTCCCGGTCCTTGCTCCTCTGCCTTTTCATGTCCACAGGAAAGAAGCAAGTTCACCACCTGGTCCACAGCACTGTCTCACCCACACCAGCTACCCAAATTCCCAAACAAAAGTGCTGCAGAGAGTCCGTGCTTTGCCCAGGCCCCACACTCACATCTTCCGGATGCTCTTTGCCCAGCTTATGAAGCACCGTCAGGTAGAACTTGAAGAAGAAGCTGAGGGTGAGTGTGCGCCGGAAGTCCACCATGCCGCCCGGGGCATCGGGGGGCAGATACAGCTCCTCCGCCAGGCCTGCACACACCTCATGCAGCAGCTTCTCGTTCCAGAAACTGCCAGAGAGCAGGTAGGTGTGGGAGAGCGCTCCCATCCCGCCCCCAGAATCATTGTGCAGGCGGTGAGCACAGGACCTCAAGCCACGTGAACCTCGGTTCGAAATCCGGCTCAGAGACTCATGGTTGTGTGACTTTTGGCAAGTTACTTAGCCTCCTAGAGCCTCAGTTCTCTCATCTTTAAAAACAGATCCAATTATAAAAGACCACAAAAATAATAGTTAAGTCTATTAAGTCCTTACAATGTCCTAAGTGCTTTTTATGAAACATCATTTTTAATTTAAATTAAAATGTATAGTAGGAAAAATTTTATACTCATTACCAGTGAGAAAACTGAAGCATAGTTGACTTATTCTATACCCATCTGACAAGTGTTGGAGCCAAGAATTGGAACCAAACTCCAACATTAAGATTTATCTATCCATACAGGTATGGTCAGGATTACATAGAATAATGCCAATGAAGTGCTTGGTTCCATTGCTCCCATATAGTACCTATAGTGATAGTAGTAGCCATAGTAATAGCATAGCACTAGTAATAGCATTAATAGCAATGCTGGTAGTAGTAATACTAGCATTGGCACATGTAGTGCTATAGTAGTACTGGTGGGAGCAATAGTAATAGTAGTAGAAATAGAAGTAATATAGTAGTAGTAGTAGAAGCAGTAGTAGTAACAGTAATAGCAAAAGCAGTAGTAGTAATAGTAGTAGTAGAAGTAGTAGCCGCAACAGCAGTGATACCAGCACTAGAAGCAACAATAGTAATAATAGTTGTAGCTGTGTAGTACTAGTAATAGCAGTAGCAACAGTAGCAGCAGGAGCAGCAATGGTAATAGTACAGCAGCAGCAATACTATTGGTCATAATGCTACTAGTAATAGCAGTAATCACAGTAGTAGCAGCAATAGTAATACTGCTAGCAGCACAGGAGGAGTAGCAGCAGCATAGGGCAGTAGCAGGATTGTTTTGCTGTTAGCTCTTACTTGGACAGCTGCTTCCGCGTGGTCTTGAAGGCTGAGATGGTTCTGTCGGCCATTCCGCCATAGCAAAGGGCCAGCTCCTTCACCTGTGTGGTTCCTGGCTGGAACAGGACTCTCATGCCGCAGGTCACCTTGGCTATGTCATCTTCTCTCCGGGAGGCCTGCTTAAAGGCTGAGAAAAACTCGCCCTGAAAGAGAAGAGGATGGTACCAGTTTCCCACCCTGCTTTGCAAGGACTGCAGATGGTGAGCCTGAAACACAGGGGTATGTGGTGAGGTGAGGTGAGGAGACAACACCATCGCACATCAGCAAGGAGCTGGTGACAGGGATCAATGATGGAGGCCTAACCATCACATTTTCAGAAGTTCCAGATAGCATTCCCGAATCTGGGAGGGTCAGGGTTTCTCCCTATTAGTTAGGAAACAAAGTCAGGGACAAAGAAGAATGGGGTGCTGTCAACCCAACAGCTGAGAGAGGAAGGGTGTTTTCACAAACTCCTCCCTGAGACTCCTCAGGCTCGAGAACCTTCCCCATCCTAGTACCCAGTATCAGAGCACACGGCCTCTCGGGGGCTGTGCCGAAACCTCTGTTGGCCGGACTGCCTCTCAAGCAAATACAGAGAAATGCCCAAGAGTGTTGGAAACAGCCTGCAGCTTGCAGCCTCCTCGCTGGCTCCCTAACTGGCTCTCCCACCAGCCTGTGGGCTGTGCTTAGAAATCTGGCTTCCTGGCCGAAAGAACCGACCGCACTATGAGGCAGAGGCTGCCTTTGTCCTTTGATCACCCATTTCCTGAGTCTAAGCCAGCTCTGTCTTTGGGGTCAGGGGGAAAGTGTGAGTTGCTTTCCTGGTAAGGACCATGTGCTATCCAGCCCTCTCTGTGTCAGGTTCTGCTTGAGGTTCGCACTCACCCTGGCAGCACAAACTCTGATTCACCTCACAGCGGGGAGGTGTAAGGGAAGGGTTGTTGGAGAAAGCAGGAGACCCACTGCTGAGGTCTGAAATGACCACAGGCTTTTGTTTGAAGAAGCCATAGAGGCCCCTCCTGATACTAAAGCTGGTTCCGCTTCCTGGTGTCAGACAGGCCCTGGGGCCATGAGCCCAGACCTTGAACTTGGTCTTGGGACAGAGGTTCCAGCTGCTCATGTCCAGGGCTGTGCCAGTCCCCTGTGACGTTTTCCCTGGGCTGCCAGGAAAGGTCAGTGTTGACTCAATTGTTCTTTCCTGAGAAATCCTTCCTGATTCTGGGTATTAACATCTCCTTTCTTTAAGAAGAGATATTTTATGTCCCGTGCCTGGCAAAATAAAAACCGGGCAGTTCTATGCCTGTTCTTGCCTCCTTTCCCAACCTCATAATTTAACATTCTTTTACTGATCTGTGAAATACAAAACTCTGGGAATCACTGCTCAAAATGGTCTATAAGGACAAGCGAGAGCACCATTAAGAAACCACCTCAGGGATGTAATTGCTCTAATTTAATTAGCTTTTCATTAAGGAGGTTAAAATTAGCCAGGGTGAAACATGCCTTGTAAAAATTCAAGCACTAGCTGTGGAAAACCCTTAATACGCTCCTTTATCGCTGGTTCCCAGCCTCTCACAGGTCACTTTCTACAAGGCCCATCATGGAATGATGTGCTGCCGAGAGAGGCGCGAGTCACGCCAGGTGAAGCTGCCACAGGCCCCAAGGAACAAGAGCAAGGCGGCCAGAGGCGCCCTGACCTGCTGAACAAGCTGGAACCTTCATCCACCCAGAGCAAGGTCAGTGAGTAAACACCTTGTCAAGCGCAAGGTCAGCATGTGAGGGTCTGACTTCCAATCAGCTTCTTCCCTTAGCACATGAGCCCCACACTTCACCTGATGAAATCTCGTCTCCTCTGACCGGGGGAGAAATACTCGCCAGCAGGATGCATCCTTGAAACTGTGTTGCTAGTTACCAGTAGTATCCTCCTTCTGTAATGTGTGATCTCCACCGGCTCCCAGGCATCTGCCAGGAACCTTCAGAATTATTTTTCAGGCCTCACAATCACCTTCCCAATAGGTAACATTGTGCCCATTGTTCAGGTGAGAAAACTGGGGCTCAGGAAGGTAAATTGACTCACTTAGGATCTCATATCTAGCTTCTCTCCATGCTCTATGCTCCACCCTAAAACTTCTCATTGTCCAGAGAGGAATAGGGCTGGTCAAAGGCAAAGTTCAGAGACAAGAGCATCGGTGTTACAGTTGAGAGATGCTAAGGTTGGTCCCGAAGCCAACTCTGCTCTCCTTGTCCGGAGCCTGGCGGGTGTGGGAGTGATTCGGGCACAGCATCTTACCTCCCTGCTGTAGGGGATCTCAATGGAAAGCAGTATCTCTTCTGGACCTAGCAGCGTCTTTCTGTAGCCAGGGAAGAAGGTGTGGTCCATCGGAACCGTTCTCCTGGTGCCTGTACAGAGGCAAGATGAAGAGGGACCGATGTGAGAAAGCACAGGGCAACCCACCAGTGGGCTTCTGCATCCTGGTCTCTGATGCCCACAGTCAATGGGAGTGGATGGCACAACTGGGGTCGAGGCCCTCCATCTGAAATCCTTAAGCAATGGTGCGCTGGTGAATGTTAACAATCAGCTGTTGGGGGTGTAGCCTTGAGTCGCTAGTGTCTATGGTATCAATACTCCCACCATAGCCAATTTCAAGCTACCAGAATGACATTACTGCTGTGGAGTTAGAAAAAGGCCTGCTGTCCTCTGAAAGGCCTGTTTACAAGGTGGGCCCTTGGCTGTCCTCTGGGAACCTGGGTCTCCAGAGGGTTCCTAGCATTCCCTGATAAGAATGGCTCACGGTTTGTAAAAACAACATGGTTTATGCTGAACACCTGCTTTCCTTCTGGGCCTCTGGACTTTGGTATGTACCGGGCAGGCCTGTGTGACCAGCCCCCCAGTTAGATCTCTAGGTGCTGAGCCCCTAACAAGTTTCCTGGTCGCCTGCACTTCCCATGGGGAGCTTGCTGCTGGGGGAGTCAAGGGTGTCCTGTGTGATCCTCTGGGAGGCCCTGGGAGCTTGTATCAGATTTCCACTGGACTTTGTTCCATGTGCCTATCCCTTTGCTGATTTTGCCTTGTAGCCTCCTTCTGTAATGAGCCATAGCCATGAGTATGACTATATGCTGAGCCTGTGAGTCCTCCTGGCAAGTCATCAAACCAGGGGAGGTGCTGGGGACCCTCTGACAAGGAAGGATGCACAGTAGCACACCACCATGTAGCATCTCCACTGCAGATAGATAGATGGAAGGAGCCTCAACAGCATAGACAACAGTAAAACGAAGTAAAATAATTAGCAAGTGGTGAATTTTGAGTACTCATTACCTTTGTCATTAATATCATCTATCTTATTTCACTCTTATATAACTTAATTTTTAGTAACAGCCATATTTCACAAACGCTGTTGACCCAGCGATCTGCTGTGATGAGCTGGTGCATCCTGGCTCTAGCATCCCACTAGGTAAGGCCTCCGGACCAAGCCAGCTGTGAATTCTTAATAAAGAAGTGGCCCAGCTCTCCTGGCCCCCAACACGAGTGATCCCTTGTAGCTTCCAGGAGTCCAAACCATAGGACAGCGGGGTCATTGGACCTTGGACTCTGTCCCTCCAGGAAGTAACCCATCTTGTGAGACTTTTCTCCCGCAGGACCCTCTGCACGAGGCAGCTCACCTCTGGACACGATGGTCAGCTTGGCCCCGCTGGCCATGAACACCGGGTTGAGGTCGGAGATGGGGCTGGCGGTAATGATGTTCCCTCCGATGGACTAGGACAAGCAGAGAGTGTGCGTGAGAGCCCAGCCTGGAAACCCGTGCTCACCCAGCTGGCTCCCAAACGCAGGGTGGGAGGATGACAGGCATCATCTGTGAAGGGAGGCCCGCCCTCCAGCCCCTGGAGACACAGCCCGGGGCAGTGAGAGCTCCGCAATCAGAACATCGAACATCGTGCGACACTTGTGATCTGACCGCTTGGGATTGGGGCCCAGCTCTGAAATTCAGCAGCCAGTGCACCTCACTCAGCCCCTTGAAATTCGTATGTTGAATGTCACCCAACCTTTTTCTGAAAGCGTTTAGGTGGCTTATCACAGAGCCATAGAGAGTCAGTACCACAGAAATAGAAGATAAAGATCAAGGACAAAGAGGAGGGAGATGTAAGGATGAATGATTTGTTCTAACTGGATCTGAGCTTCCCAGCAACTTGGCAAAGAATGTTGGGAGAACCAGACCCAGGGTCCTCACTCCTGGAAACCAGGGAGGAAGCCAGCTGCTCGATGAAAACAAATCCTCCCTGGGAGTAGATGCCAGCTGAGCTGGGGACTCCGGAGAGATTGCTTGTTTATATCTCCTCATCTACACCCAGAAGCGGCCGGGGCTTGGGGTAAGGTGTGGAGAATGGAGTGGGCTGTTTTGCTTTATTTTTTGTTTATTTTAATTTAAAAAACCATTTTTTAAAAATAGAATAGAAGGGTTAGCTTTCCTTCCAACACCAGCAACAATTATGAGCCTCAAATGGCACTGTGTGCGAATGCCACTTGCAAACTGGGAATCTGGGGTTTAGTCTGAAGGCTGACTGTGACAGCCCTCCCTCCTCTCAGGGGTCTACCTCTGGTTCTACCCCCAATGCGGAAAGGCTGTGCCCCTCCCTGGTTTGGCCTTTCTCTAACTTATCTCTCATCCACCTGCTGAGAGCCTGGGCCAATCAGAAGCGGGGGACAGAAGGCCCCATCTCTCCAACATCAGGGAGAAGACTGAGTCCAAGTGAATGTCACCGGGAGTGGCCCACAGACCACCTGCACCAGCAGCACCTGCAGGCTCACCCCAGCCCTTCCAGGCCAGCATCTCGGAGGCAGGGCCCAGGAATCTGCATCTTTAACAAACACTCAGGCAGTTCTACCCATTCAAGTGTGAGGCTCCTGGTGTGGTGAAAGGCCCTGTCCCCTGGGCCTCGAGGCCCCCGGGCAGGGACTCACCGCCACAGACTTGACCTGCTTCCCGGCAAACCAGCGCATCTGCTCCAGGACGCCTCTGAACACCTCTGTCTTGTGGGCAGGAAGCTTGGCCACGGCATCTTTCAGGGTCTTTTCCACAGATTCCAGAGGGCAAGCGGCTCCGAAGGAGATCCCTGGGAACACACGCTCAGAATAGCAGCGATCCCCTCCCCAGGGCAGAAAACACTTTCACACACAGAGTCTCTGAAGCTTCACAGCAACCTGAGTGCGGCTGCGCCAGGACTCGCATCCTTATACAGAGGAAGGAAAGTTGGCCCAGAGGGGTTAAGTGACTTGCCTACCACCACGCAGCTAATGAAAGATCCAAGACTCAACCCCAGGCCTCTTCTCCTACAACCAGAGTGCTCTTTCACTAAACCAGCGGTTCTCCACTCAATAAAATCAGGTTTCTGAGGGTAAAGTCCTGGCATATTTTTTTAAAGCACCCACGCATGCCTGCCCACACCAGGCTCCTGACCCCAGGAGTGATTCTAAGGTGTGGCCAGGCTTGAGAAGGACTGTTGGAGATCTCACAGCCCTTGCCCACTGATGCCTACCATGATGGAGAAAGGCGGTGAAGGTTGCCCCTCCCCCTGTGCGGGGAGGCTCCAGGACAAGCAGGTGGCAGCCAGAGCCAAAGGGGAGGTTGTCCTAGAACCCACCATCCCCCAAGGGGACGCATCCCCAGCATCCCAACCCCTCCGGGGGGCCCAGGTGAACCTCCCTTACCCTCTGGGCCGTGCTCCACTACATTCAGCTCGGGGATCCAGGCTGGGCTGACGATCACAGGAAACAGCATGTTCTTAAACTTCATCTCAATGCCTCGAGGGAAACGGGAAGCCGGACGTTAGAGGTGTGTGTGTGTGTGTGTGTGTGTGTGTGTGTGTGTGTGTGTGTGTTTAGGAGCAGTATTAGAAAACATGGGACATTAAAATATGTCAGTAACTCTCCGAAGCACTACATATTTTAACTCACTTAATCATCACAACAACCCTGGGAGATACTGTGATTTTCTCTTTATAGACGAAAAAACTGAGGCACAGGGAGGTTAAGTTTCTTGCCCATGTTACACAGCTAAGCATGGGCAGATTTCAGTATTTGAGCTATTATTAGAGTTGGGAGGTAACTAATAATAACATGAAAGTTTAACATCCAGAGAAAAAGGAAAACTGAGAGAAAAACTTCAAATCTGCTAATCAAGGTAGAAACTCTACGGACAGACTCGCCCCGTTCCTCAGACTCAATTACCCAGCACCTCTCCCAGCCTCGCCCATGGGCCGGTAGAGGGAAAAGATAAAAAGGAAATGACTGTGCATCGTCCCACGTCCTCCCTCTCACGTGCTGTTTGGGATTTCTGAAGGAGGCCGAGGCTGTGGGGAGTCTGGCCCGTCTGAATACCAGCTCCCAGGACAAAGAACGTAGATGGAGACAGAAAGTCTTAAGTTTCTCTCTACACCCAGCTTCCCCAACACCTGCCCCAGCGTGAGTGGTTACTCTGTTGGGTCTGTATAAGGAAGGAAGAGGTGGAGCCGATGGAGTGATCTTAAAAAATTATTTCTAACTTGAAGCTTATAAAATCTCTGGGAATTCCTTTCTCTAAGAATCTAACTTGGCTCAGGATGTTTATGGCTCATGGCAAGGAACCTGTCACATGGCAAAGATCTTGAAGATTCTTCCATCCAGTCATTCTCCACTTTAACTCATGCCACCCGGGACCATGGCTATATGGGCCATAGGATCGCATCACCTGAGGCAGATCTCACCCTGCCATCCCGGTGTCACAAAACTGGCTGGGGACTCTGTACCACACACATGCTCACAGGGCATGGCCAGCTCTGTGCTCCATCAGCACAGAACCGAGCCAAGCTCTCTTCTCTGTGGCTGCAGAACCAACCAGAACCCAGGGTCCTTCCAGAACCAGAGCCACGAGTCTCCCACAGGTTGGATTTGGCTGCTTAAAAGTATGTCAAGTTTCCCCCAAACCAGAGGTCCTCTGTGGCAGACCTCTGCTGTGCCACAGTCTTCCCCTTCCAGCCTTTCTGGGCCTGGGAACCAGCAAAGTGGAGATGGGCCAAGCCCGGCTTAGAAATGGATGGAGATGAGCACGGCCTCGGGCAGCTCTGCTCCAGACCCTTCATGCACCAGGAGAACTGCTCAGCTCGAGTCTCCCTGACCTGTTGGCATATTGTGGGCCTCATGTCCCAGGTGGAGGCACCACCAGGACAGGTAACCATGGTCCTGGGCAACACAAATGATCACCCTTGGATATCTCCTCTCCTTTGCCTTACCACAGCACCCCCAGAAAAGGGTGGAGAAGAGAGTGACATGTATGGAACCCCTAGCATCCATCAGGCACCAGCCTGGACAGTTTACCAACATTGCTCCCTCCTGCCTCTGACTGGGAAGACATGTGAGGGAAGGAACTGTGTCCAGTACATCCTGGCACCCAGTCCCTCCCAGGGTCCCTGGCACAGAGCTGGCTCTTTATAAATGTCTATGGAAAACAGTCAACAAGGATCTCAGTTAATACTCAGGACAACTCTTGAAGGAGGCATTAGTGACCCCACACGTGAAATGGGAAAATGAGAGAAGGGAGGAGACGTCATTTTTCTGAAGACCCAGGGGTTGAAACAGGTCTCCAAAGCCAGGAGTTTTACATAAGTTCAAGGGCCCAGGGTTCCTCAGTGGGTCCCTGGCCCCCAGTCAGGCCCCTCAGGCTCTTACCGATCTCCGTGTTCCCTACCACCAGCTTGGCCTCGGGGTACTGCGCCTTGAGGTCCAGTAGCTCCTTCAGGGTGGAGGCCTGGATCCAGGTCACACGCTCCCCTTCAAAACGTAGCTGCTTCCGGGGCGCGTCTTTCAGCCTCTGGAAAATGCCGTTTTCCAATGAGCTGTCTCCTTCTCCCCACTCCATTCCCACCGCCATTCCCATGGCCCTGCTTCAGGTCCACAATGGGACCAACTCTTCTATGGACTTGTTGACTACTGAATTCAGAATGAAAATACTTGCCAAAGAGAAGGGAGGAAAACTGCATGGATGGAGGCAGGAACTAGGTTGCAGCTCTTACATACATTAGCTCACTGAGCCAGCAGAAGACTCGGTGAAGGAGGCATTGTGAGCCACATCTTGTATCGGTAAGGAAGTTATGTGACCTGCCAAAGGTCACTAGTCACAAGGCAACCTGGACTGTCCCCACTGTCTCCAGGAGGAGCAGTGTACAAGGTGTGGGTGGAAATGGGGCAGCAAAGGAAGGGGTGTCAAAGGGAATGCCATGCAGAGCTGGTCCCAGTGCATGAGGGGTGATGCTGGGGAAGAAAACCCCAAAATCACACTGACGGTTTCAAGGTTGCACAATCTAGAGGAGGATATGCTGGCGGCCTGCTGCACAGCCCTTCTCTCTGGCGCTTGAACTCAGGGAGTCCTCGTGTGCTCAACAGCCCCTGAGAAATCTGCACTTGAGAAGCTCTGAGGGTGGCTTGATTCTTTCCTTGCCACAAATGTTGGCGTGAAGGAACCAAATCGTCAAGGGAAGAAAGGGGGTGTGAAAGGTGTCCTTAAAGCAGAGCTGCAGGCCTTGGGTGTGTCCTTTGAATCCAGCTTTGCTTGTTTGTTTGTTTATTAAATGGACTATTTGCTTGCGGGAATTTTGCATTAGATTTAGCCAGGAGGCCAGCAGATACTTCTGGAGCCCCTGTTATAGTACACAGGGCACCAGAGAGATCCACTTCCTGTCCTCAGAGTGACCGTGTGAGAAGGAGAGAAATGTAGGTCCCTATAGGAGCACATGAAAGAGGGACTTGACCCCTGGGTGTCAGAGAAAGGAAGGCAAATTCAGGCTGAGACCTGAAGGACAAGGAGAATACAAAGTTCCCAGGGGGTATGAAATAAAGCAGGTCTCTAGGGGGCTCATGGCACAGAGCCTCAAGGGGCCTTTCCTTGGGGCATCACCTACCAGCAACTCTGGTGGGAAGATGGGCTCCTGGGTAGGATCCAAGGGCATGAACTCCTCTGGGTTGAATAAACATGGAGACTCAGTGACCTGCTGGGAAAGGGAACAGATATGTGGTACAGTATCTCCCTGTTAAAATGCCCCATAGGACCAATGCAGCCCTTTGTCCAAGCAAGCTCACTCGCAGCCCCCCGCAAGCTGGTGGAGGGGCAGGCAGCTCCTGGATGCAGAAACAAGGTCTTGCCAGAGGATCCAGGGCTAATGTGCACAGTCTCCACTCTCTCAGTCTGGGCTTAACTGTTTCCTCTTCCAGCCACCCTTGCCAAGAGTACGGAGAGAGACCACTGGCTCCTTTGAACTGCGACTGGCCCCCAGATTTCCAGGGAGAGAAGGGCCCACTTACTGTGTCGTCTTTCTTCTGGTTCATGCAGCAGTTTGGGTTGTCCACATTCCCTCCACAGCACCCACCATCCTACAGAGATGACCAACGTTCACACAAAAATATTTGCAAAGAGTTTCACGGAAGCGGAAGTACCTACATTATGAATTTCCAGTGAAATCCAGCTCTGACACCCACTCCAGCATCAATAGTATTAGTAGATACCCTGTCCCATCCATTTGCCTTTGCATAGAGGTAAGGCCTCTGCTTTAACTTCCTCTTGCTTGGTTAATGTAGATTAAATAACTTGTGAATAAACAAATAAGATCTCTCCTGGAAACAGCAGGGAAAGTTAATGTTAAGAACATCCTATATAATAAAAGGGTAATATGCAAATAGATCGAAATGCAGAACAACCAACCAATCAAATCGTGATATGCTAATAATATGCTAAACATGCTCAACTGCTCACTATGACATGCACTGACCACCAGGGGGCAGACAGCCAACTGGTCAAACAGTCGCTATGACGTGCACTGACCACCAGAGGGCAGATGCTCCAACTGGTAGGTTAGCTTGCTGCTGGGGTCCAGATGATTGGAACTGAGATGGGCTGGACACACCCTGGAGCCCTCTCGTGGTCCTTCCCTGGACCAATCGTGCACCAGTGGGGTCCTTCAGCCTGGCCTGCACCCTCTTACAATCTGGAATCCCTTAGGGGATGTCAGAGAGCCGTTTTCAGCCTGATCCCGCAGGCCACTCCCCTTGGGAGGGCGCCAGAGGCAGGGCTCATGGCTCACGAGCACTGCTGCAGCAGCGCAAGCCTCTCCCAATCGGGACTGATTGTGTGTGAGCCCACGGCAGGCACAGTGGGGCTGGGATGAGTGGGAGCGACAGGTATGAGCTGCAGGTGGCATTGGACTGCGGGTTTCAGCCCGATCCCTGCAGGCCATCCAGAGGGACCTGACCCATGCACAAATTCGTGCACCGGGCCTCTAGTTTCTCCATAAAGATAGGTCATCCTATTTTATCAAAACATTTCTTTATGCCCATTTCCCTGTTCAGTGCTGCTCCCTTAGGAAGAGGGACAGAAATTCCCTTGGTTCTCTCAGCACTCAAGAGCCCCCTCTTTTAGATCCACCAAGTTCTTGTCTGGGCACCTCCCAGGTAGGAGTCTTTGTGGGGCTCCTAACGAGAATGTCCAAGACTGCTTGCTGGGTCCAGAGCTGTGTCTAGCAAGTGTGCCTGGGCCTCACCACGGCTGATTAGACACTTCTTGCTAGAAAGCTAAGCGCTCTTTATTCCTCATTATGGGCCTGTTCCAGTCTGATGACCTCTGGGGAAAGGACTTGCCCAGGACCTCTCAGGGTGCCAATAGCAGAACACAGAGGAGAGCCCACCTGACTGATGTGTCCCAGAGAAAGCAGGACTCTGAGCTCAGGACCCCACGGGACACTCCAGAATCATGGAATTGTACTGAGAGGCCAAGTGAGGGGAACTTCCAGGCACAGCCTGGGCACATTTCCAGGGCAGCCAATTCCTGGAGCGGACTGGGGCAGCCCCTCTGCACATGAATCACGGGAGACACACTTCTATCGTGACATTTCCTGAAGGATGAGTCACAACCTATTTTTTTTCCAAGAAAGCTCTCAGAGGGTCAGGGTGTGGCCTTTGAGAACTGGAAGGTCCTGGCAGACTTGGCATTGGGAGAGAAAACCTCTCTTGACTTGACCCTCTTGCAACACTGTCCCAAGTACAGGCCCCTCTGGCATTCACAGCTTTGCCGTCAGATCTCAGAGCTGCCCTGGTTTGAACCTCTCCACCCCCACCTTGCCCTTGCCCTTGCCCTTCCTATTTAAACAGGAAGGGAGGAAAGAAGGGAGGGAGGGAGGAAAGAAGGAAGGAAGGGAGGAAGGTTGGTTCCTATAATGCCTCTTCTCATCTTTCTTCTCAGAGAAGGAGTGATGCAGAGAGTCGCCAGGTCCCGAGTGAAGTGAGGGGCACCCAGTGCTGGTGGGAAGGATGTATTTCACAGACGCACATTTTTCCCGGGCATTGAATGCCAGCACATTCTTTCTTAAATCTTTGTTCTTGATAATTCATTGACGTTCTTACGACATAAACAATTGTGATGGACAATGTGTCATTGCCCTCAAGGTCTGCTGAGGCTGGATAAGACTGCTTTCCCCCCTGCAGGGATTTCCACTTTTCTCAGGAGGCTGAGACACTGAGCTCAGGGTTGTTTTTATGGTTCCTTCCCTTCCTTGCTTGCTGCTGGATGGACACTGTCATTCCTCACTGGGAACAGTGTGCCTCCCTCTAGAAGATGCCCCTCACCCTTTTCTAGTATGTGCCATGGGCGTGAAGACAAGATAGCCAGGTCTGTTAGAACTGTGTGTAAAACAGGAGTGAAAAGGCTCTGTCTGGCAGGTTGCTCAGTGGTTAGAGCGTGGGACCCACAGACCAAAGGGTCACGGGTTCGATTCTGGTCAAGGGCACACACTTCGGTTGCAGGTTCAATTCCCAGGCCTTGACAGGGTGCTAGCAAGAGGCAACCAATTGATATGTCTCTCTCATGTCAAAGTTTCTCTTCCTCTTTCTCTCTCCCTCTCTCTCTCCCCTTTTTCCCCTTCCCTTCCACTCACTCTAAATATCAATGGAAAAAATATCCCCATTTCTCAGGTGAGGATATTTTTTTAAAAAAGAGTGAAAAGGCTCTGAATAAAGGCTGGGGGTCTCTAAGGAGTAATGCACATGAGCTTCCAAGGACACTGTGTGCAGGCCATGTTGGCTGCTCAGAGAACTCAGCTCAGCTCAGCTCAGCTCTGCTCCACACTGACCGGCAGCTGGACAGAGGGATGCACTGCCAAACACTGGAATCAGGACCCAGTTCAACCCTCCAAAGGAGCATAATTATCAGCTACACTCAAAAGCCCTTCTCTTTTGAGAAACTAGGAGGGCTGGTTACATTGTTCCTTTTTGAGCAGCCGCCTATGAAATACATTCATGGACAAGATTAACAATTCCTGGTTCTCAAAGAAGCCTGCACCATTTATAAAGATCAAGTATTAAGTCATGGAAGAAATGGACCGGCATCGTGATTTATAGCTGCCACTTACTGAATACTTAAGATATGCCCAGCCTTGTTCTGGGGACTTTGCAAGAGGTACTTTCAACATTCATGACAAGGTAGGTATTATTATAATCCACATTCTAGAAACAAGGCCATTTGCCCAATGCCATGAACCAGTTAAGTGATGAAATGGAATTTGAACCCAGGTCTGCAAACTCTAGGTCTGAGCTTTCAATCATTTTTCTCAGAACCCACACCTCCTAATTCCTCTCAGGGTGTGGTGTCTTCCACCCTTATGAGCCCCACTTCCATCTCCACCCCTGTGAATTATTTGCATGAAACTCTCCTTTTTGTAATGCACTTACCCAACAGGTCAGCAAAAAGCTGCCTCTACCATCAACCCTGAATCACACTGAGAGGAGGTGTGTGACTGGAGTCAGGATCAACCTGACCCAGTTGGAGAATCAGGTAAAATCCGAGGAGATTAAGGCAAGAAAGGAGAGGCCAGCTGTGCGTCCTCCTTGCCAGGTGGCAGCTGTGTGCCTGTGTTTATATAAGCGATGCCCACACACCTGGCTGTGGCTTCCCACTCAGCATTCTGTGAACACTGCAGGGCTTCGCAAACTGGCGATTTGATTAGCAGTTTCATCAGCCCGGCACAGTGCCAACTGCAGAAGGCAGCCAGGAGAGGAAAGGACAAGGCGCCTGGGTCATTCAGCACCAGCACCTGTACTGTGGCCTGAGCAGGCCAGTCTCCAAGGAAGGCTGCCAAGCCTAAACGCCCTGGAGGAAATTAGTTCTTGGGCAACATGCCTCTTCTAGGAACCAATTCCCCAGGTAGCCACAGTGGGAGGACCTGCCACCTGGCCATCTTATCTCTCTTCTCTGTAATGCAGAGGCCCTTGGCATCCCTCCCAACTGTGATTCCAGGGTGTTGCTGCTTCAGGAGCAGGGCCACTGATGTCCTGGGGGCCCCCACTTACCCTGGCAAAGGTGCGGAAGCCCTGGATGATGGGTCTGTAGCCTGTGCAGCGGCACAGGTTTCCTGTGAGACAAGGGAGCAGATGCGATGTCAGTGCAGGCTCCAGGGCAAGTGAGGGGCTCTGGTTGAGCTCGAGGCTCAGATGCCTTCTGCATGTTCTGTTTTCTCTTCCTAGAATGCCCCTCCTCCTCCCTTGTGCTTCTTCCAGGAAGACTTCCTGGAATGCCCTAAGTGCTTCCATGGTGCCTAGTCATCGTTTTATGAGTGAAACTCTCTCCCTCAGAGTATGAACTCCCTGGAGTAGGGATGGTGTCTTTTATCCCCATGACCCTTGTTCCCTGTATAGTGCCTGGCTCATGATAGGACTCAATATAACTGGTTGAATGAATGATGAACTGAAATGGTGAATGGAAAGGGGAGTCTTCTCTATTCAGTTCAGAGAAACAGACACCTGGCCCAGGCTCCTAGGCCCCTGTACCGAGGGAACGTGGGAAGCCATCCCTGCCCAAGCTCAGAATCCTGGCTGCCTTCTCAGATGGGCCTTTGCCCTACAGAGTCCTGTCCTGGTAAAAGCTGAGATGGAAGGAAGTGATATCACTAGGCCCTGTGGAGTTTCCAAATGGTCTCCCCACTGCCACGCACCCCAGTGCAGGGGAGGGCAGGAAGACACCTTGGGAAGATGAACACTCAGGCAAGCTGTCTCCAACCCACCTGTGTGCTCCTCAAACTAAGAGAGGCCAGCCCTCCAGCAGATCTTAGCCAACACGTGCGGGTAGGCTGAGCTTCTTCTCCTAAGGGCAGTGCCTCCGACTCCTGGCCCATTCCCGGCTTCCACTTGGGCCCTGCACTGACCCTCTCAGAGCCCCATCTGCCACCCTACCTCCTGGGCTGTGCCCGGGGCCCGTACCTTGGAAGGAATTCTCGATCTCCTCCACAGTGGGCTCGGGCTGGTTCCGGAGCAGCGTGTACATGCTCATGACCATGCCGGGGGTGCAGAACCCACACTGGGAACCGTGACTTTTGGCAATTCTCTCCTAAAAGGGAGAGATGACATGAACACCTGTGTTGGCAGAACCCCTCTCAGACTTGCTACGTGACTCAACTGAAGCCAGGCCACGTCGACAGGCAGAGTGGGCAGCAGGCACTGCACAGAGCCAAATCCTAGTGCCACCAATTGCCAACTGTGGCCTTGGGCACATCACCGAGCCTCTCTGAGCTGCAGGTCCCTTGTCCTGGTACTTACCTCTAGACCTGTGGTGAGGATTCAACGAGATAATTCACAAAAACTCTTACCATTATACCTGGCATACAGGGGGAATTCAAGCAGTGTTCGCTATTAGTAGGAAAGGCCCTTCAGAGAAGAGTGACTATTAGAGCCAGAAGCATCTTCTCACCCTCCGTTCCTTTCACTGAGCAGAGGAGGAAGCAGGTCCAGAGATTAAGAGATTTACCCAGAGACACACACAGTGAACGGAGGAGCTGTGTCACCTTCTGTTACCTACACGACCCTGCAATCCACCTCAACCAGCCTTTGTTCAGAACCAACTGAATGCATCTTATTCCAAACTAGAATACCACTGTCTAGTGGTAATCCTCGACATCCAGTGGGGACCTAAGAGCTGAGAAATGGATCATATAGAACATATCATATGCATTGACTATCACAAAATTTTCATTCAAACCTGCAAGATTTTCATTACAAGGAGATTTTCCACATTATTATAATAATAATAATTACTATTATTATTATTACTATGTCTCTTAAGAGTCTCTCTTGGCACTTACATTAGGTAAAATTATTAGAATATTGTATCCCCAATGCCTAGAATATCTATTCATTTTATGAATAATTACTGAGAAACTATTATGTGCCAGGCATGGTAGGGGACCAGACAGTGAAGAAGAGAGTTAAGGTCTCTGGTCTCATGAAGCTCATGTCCTAGTAGGAAAAATATTGACACATACAAAACCTAGATTCCAGGAGGAGATCAGCACTATGTAAGAATTAGTTTAGGATGGCAGGACCCTGAGTGAGTAAGGCTCCTCGAAGTGGTCAGAAGTGGTGGCTCTGAAAAGGTGACTTTTAAGTTGAATTTAATAACAATTTGGATCAGGGAAGAGTGTATTCCAGTCAGAAGGAACAGCATGTGCAAAGCCTGGTGTGCTAGAGTGACTAAAGGGTCAGTGTGGATGGAACCCACTGGGACAAGAGAAATCCTGGCAGAGATCACGCAGCTCCTCGTAAGCCATGGTCAGGACCCAGATTTTTATTCTGGGTGTGATGGGAAGCCATAATGGGATAAGATCTAATTTATGTTTTTAAAGAATCTTCTGGCAGTTGGGTGGGGAGTGGGTTGTAGGGGGCAACAATAGAAACAGAGGATCAGGCAAGAGGGGATGGCGGCTCAGACCAAGCAGTAATAGGGAATCAGAAAATGGAGGTGTCACTCTAGGATTGGGAAGTAAACACTACTTCTGGATAGAGTGGGGGTGGCGTAAAAGAGAAGGCATCAAGGTGACTGCTAGATGTTTGTGTTGAGCAAGTGGATGGATGCTTTTGCCATTGTCTCCGATGGAGACAGACTGGGGAGGAAAGGAGTAGGAAAGAATGGGCTTTTGTTACATGTAGTGATGCCAAGTGGGCAGCTGGAAATCTGAACCTAATCTCTGAGGAGAGGTCAAAGCTGAAGATATAAATATGTGTACTGTTCACATGTAGACGGTATTAAACTCACATGGGAAGGGTGTGAAGATGGAGAAGGGAAGGGCCCGGGCAGGAGCCCTGGGGACCGGCAGCCACAGGGCCTGAGCAGAGAGGACCAGTGCATGGAGATAAGAGGAGAATGAGGGGAGTGTAGTGTCATAGAAACCAAGATAAAAAACTGGGTAGACAAGGAAAAGTGGAATCTAGCTCTACAGCTTATCTGGGAGCCAAAATAGGAGCATGGGGAATAAGGATTTGTGTCACTGGAAAGGCATGGGGTTTAGCCTAATTATGCAGATATAATCTCAGTATTAAAACTGTTTGTGCTTTCTTTCATCTATTTTTCTCAAAGATGATTATAAGCCCTAATGAACCTTCTCACATCTCCTTCAGGTTGGACAAGTTTAGCAATTTTCCCTTTTCCTGCCTAAGCTAAGAATGAAGTCACAGAGGTGGAGCAGTACCACCCCCACCCTGCACTGGCCTCACCTGGCTGGTCCCAGAGGCTCCTCCCAAGGAGTATAACCAGCTTGCTCAACCAGAGGCCCTGGCTCCCACATTCACGTCAGTGCCCACGGACGGCATGCTCTGGACAACTCGTCTCCCCGAATGGTCAAGGCAGGACAAAGACCTGGGTGTGGCTCTGGCACCCTCTGTGATTGTAATCTCCCAAAGACCTCCCTGCCTCAGTTTCCCCAAACAAAAAGCACCGGGAATAATGGCCTTTCCTTCCCGCAGTGCTCTGCTCCCACGCGTGCTCCGTTCCACTTCACCTGAGAGCATTCTGCTTCTCTCCACAAAACCTCCCAGACTACTGCCCACTCTACCCAAAAGCGTTCCCAGTTTCAATTTGTTCCTGGGGGGTCTGGTAGCATCATGAAGAAAGCCTTGGTCAGACCCTCAAATGTCTCTGTTCTCTTATTCAGGCCTTGTTGACCTGCGTTTAATGAAGATGGGGGCCTAGCAGCCCACATTTGTATTATCTGCGGGTGGCAGGTGAGAGGTGCAATGGAATTGCCACTCGAGGGGGCAGGGAGTAGGTGGGCTTTTGATCAAGGGACACGGAGCACTTGGAATCTTGAATCTGGGAAGGCACGGGGTTTCCCAAGCATATTCAAGCTCAAGGTGAAGAAGTTCCCCCACCTCTCCTCCCTCCAGTTCTGGTGCAGCTGGACTGTCCAGCCATCAGATCCAGTTGACCTCTTGGTCCCCTTGGAGTCATGCAGTGTTACGTTCGCCTCGCCACAGGAGAGAGCTGCAGCATGGCGCCTCCTCCTTTTTCTGTCTCACAGCCCAGTCCCCACCCCCCACCCCAAAGGAGATGGGGAAGTGGCCAGGCCATAATGCCTCCTTTGCCCAGGGGTGACAGCCCAACAACCCAAAGCAAGTCTGTAGCTTTGTCATGAGCTCCCTTTGCTCTGGTTACCTGCACGGGATGCAGCCTGGACTTGGTGCTTCCTATCCCTTCCACAGTCGTCACGGCAACATGGTGCAAGGAACAGATGGGGGCCAGGCAGGCATTGGCAGAAAAGTGGCTGCAACCCCAGATTAAGGTCATTCCATTGTCCATTCAGGCCATCAGGATGGACCTGACTGAGTGCAGGGCCTGGGAGATTTTGTGATGCTGTGTCATTTCTTTCACTCTACATTATGTCCTTTTCTCTTCTACAGGTGTTCTTGCCTCTCCACCCAAGACTCTGACCAAGGGACAAAGGACACTTTCCCCCCACTCCCCCTTGGTGAGGCCTGAACCCTCCAGCGTTTGGGGGTCAGGCAGCAGGGCACCCTATGCCTCCCAGCTGGAGCAAGGGAGCCAAGGGCACTTTCAGATGCCTCTTACTCAGCCCATCCCTGGAGGCTGAGTTAAGGGGAAGTTTCTGGCAGGTGCCAGGCCCAACATGTGCTCCTCTCTCTATAGGGCCCTTCCTTCACTTCTTTAATTTCAGTACCTCCAGGCACTTTTGCTTTCCTGTTTTCACCCACCTCTACCTCCCCCATTTCTCAGAGGACATGAGATACCAACCCCTTAGAGCTTGCTTACATCCATTCCTTTATCTATCATTCATTCACATGATCAGTTATTGATTGCCAGCCATATACCAGGCACTCTACTGAGGGCTGATAAGTAAAGGTGAATAAGATGAAATCTCTGTTCTTTAATCATTTGCAGTCAACCAGGAAAATATAAGCCAGTGTGAAGGTGAAATTTAAATATCTTATGATCAGTGCTCAGGAGGGTTGTGCACAGAGCACTATGGGACTAGCTCAGACAAAGGGCACCTAACACAGTTTAGGAGATCAAGAACGGCTTCCTGGAGGAGGTGGTATTTTTCCGAGTCCTAAAGACAGCAGTGCATCTTTGGCCTCCCAGAAGGAGCCATGTACAGAAGTCCTGGAAGAAAGGATATTCAAAAAGACTTGGAAAACAGTTTATGCAAAGACTAAGAAATTAGTGGGAATGGAATGTTAGTTGTTCACAATTGTCTCTGCATGAGGGACTAGGATGCACTGATAAATGGAGTACTGGGTCCATGGAGAAAAAGAAAACTGGAGAGGAAAGATGGGGTATATTGTGAAGGACTTCATGTGCTGAGCAAAGAGATTGGACTTTATCCTGGGGGTGATGGAGACCTATTGGAGGATTTCATGGGATGTGAAATGAGACTGGATTTTAGAAAGGTCACATGTGCGCGCGCACACACACACACACACACACACACACACTCACACGCTCACTCACTCACTCACAAGCTGACTGCTGCTGCATAGTCCTCACATGGGCAATCAGCCAACAGGCAAAGGATACATGATCTTGTTCTGGAGACGATCATACTTGGAAAGCATCACGGTGCAAGCTCCACAGCCCCCTTCTCCACAGCCCAGCTTGGTCCCGCTCAGCCCCACTGAGTGGTCAAGGGTTAAGGAACATGAACTCAGAGAAAAAGAGTCTTTGCTGGGCAGCTGGGAAGTACTGGGCAGAGCTTTGAGTGTAGAGCCATCCACTGTCACACACAGGCCCCTCTACCAGGGAGGCAGCAGACCCACACGGCCTCCTCCTCATCAGAGAGGCTGCACTGACTCTAGGAGGCAGGGATGGGGCCATGCACTTGACCAGGACTTGAATACTAGAAACTTCTCTTGTTGTCATGTCAGGGTCTTCCAGGCATGGCCTTATAGCCCCCCAGTCCTGTGATCTCCCTAGGCAAGAGATTTGAGCACCTCAAAATCTGAGCATGTGGGCAGCTGTCACATCTGCCCAGCCAGGCTGCCATGAAGTCACTCGGACCCAGAGAGAGACATTGATCTGTCCTGGGATTTGCTGAGTCCCAGCTTTTTATCCTGAACCTTTGAGGCTGATGAAATCCAGGCACCCAAATTAGGGCTGGGCCTGGCCTTTCAAATATCCAGTCCATAGGACATGTGAAGGGAAATTAAAATGAAGATATTTTTGAGGTTAGGGACCAATGTCTTATACATACTTGCAGAAATAAATAATCTGATACTTTGCAGGCTCACTTCTGTGGGTGTGGAAATAATCCTTTGTTGTCCCCAAATATGTCACTGGGATCAGCCACTGGATATTCCTGCCTCTGGGAACAAGAGGGGTCTGTTGACAGAGGTCAGGATGAGCATCGTCCTGACAACAGACCCCTGGAGAGTTTCCAGTACAGGTAGCAAGTGAAGAGCATGGCTCTAAGCTTTAGTCTAGGCTGTGCCAATGTTTGCCCAGAATGCATGAGTGAGAAGGTCCCTCAACATGTGCAGACCTCACTTCCTCCTCTGCCAGAGGCATTGCTGTGGGGACCAGTGAGATAACCCACGGAAATCACCTTGAACTCCACCTGGACATAGTAAGTGTTCATTAAATGTCAGCTCCTGTTATATTTTTGTGATTGTTTTTGTTCCAGGGTCTCAGAATATTTTCCTACCCTGATAGAACAAATGTTACAAGGGCTCATTATAAAATATGGGGATGTAAAGTACAGCATAGGAAATACAGTCAATAATATTGCAATAACTGTGGATGGTGCCAGATAGGCACTGGACATATTAGGAGGAGAGGGGAAGAGGAACACTTTATAAAGTATGTGATTGTCTAACCACTATGCTCTACACCTGAAACCAATCCAAAATAATATTGAATGTCAACTGTAATTTAAAAATAAATAAGTAAATAAAATCTTAACAAGGTTTGGGGGCTCTTACAGGTACCCTCCCCACACTGAATGAAGAGCAGAATCTGAAATCCCTGTCAGGTGTCCCCTCCCCAAGCCTCCCGGCACTGTCATTTCCACAATGGGCGGCACCTCTACATAGTTCCCCACCTCAGGTTTCCCTTCTCCAACACACACAATGCTTCCTCTGACTTTCTCTCCACCTTCTCTGAGCTGGAAACTTTCCCCAGGAAGCCCATTTAGGTCTCAGGCAGAGATGGGCTGAGGATAGTCTGGCTCCTCTGAGTGGGAATGACCATGAAGCTGGCCAGGGCTAATGAGTGCCTATGGGAGCTGCTTGTTTTTCAGGCCCAGGGTCAAACCTTGGCTTCACTAGAGTCTTCGCTGGAAGAGATCTTAAGGAGCATCAAGAAAGATCTTCCAGAGAACCAAGAATGATCTTCCAGAGAACCAAGATGGAAACATAGGTAAACACCTGTACTTGATGCCTCTCACAACCACATCAAAATTACAACTAAAAGACAGAACAACTATCATCCAGAACGGCTGGAAAGCTGGCTGAGTGGATGCACTACAACCAGAGAGGTAAAGAAGAAAGCCCATTGAGACTGGTAGGAGGCATGGAGGGGCGGAATGGGCTGGCACTGGGTGCACTGATTTTTTAATCAGGAGGGAGATACAAGCTCCAGCTTGCTCTGAACTCCAGTTCTGGGCAAGACTCTGGTGGACCCAGACACATATGGGGAGAAACTGGACTGTCTGGCATCAGGGCAGGAACATGAGGGCAGCTTTCTTTCAGACAGAAATGCTCACAGCAGTCATTGTTCCTGCACTGGGACCTCTCTGGTGCAGGGCTGACTGGCAGCCATTGCTGTTTGCTCCACCCTGGAGATTCCCTGAGACCCTACCCCACCCAATTTACAACCCCACCCAAGCTGTGTGCAGCAGCTTTTACATATGAATGGCCTGTCCTTTCTCAGCCTAAAACCTAACAGGCATCTGGGTCAGGGAGCCCCAAAGCTAACAAAAGAATGCCCAAGGCCAGCAGCAGCAGCCTGCCTTGCTTCACAGCTGGGCCTCATCTGGGCACTTCCAAACCCGATACAAAGAGGAAGAATCTGCAGATCTCTCTGTAGTTCCTGCTGGTTGGTCCCAGGCAGTGGCTGACTTTGTACCTCCTTGGAGATACAAGAGCCAGTGTACCCAGTGGTCAGTGTGAGACCATACCAGATTACAACTCTTCACATACATAAGTGACACATTCAAGGGGCAGACTCAGTGAGCACCAAAGCCCCAGTAAAGCAAGTCCTGCACAGCAGCTCTTCCATTGTAGACATAGCTGGTCCTCACAGCCAATTGGCCTGAAGGTCAATTCTTCCCAGTGATACCAACAGCATCAAGGCTCAACTACAACAAGACTGTGCACACAGCCCACAAAGGGGTGTGCCAAGAGTGTCCACCTCAGGTGATTGGGGAGGCTGAGCCACTGGGCCCTATAGGACACCTACCACACAAGGCCATTCTATCAACTCAAGGAAACTTAGCAGGCTACCCAATATGTAGAAACAAACACAGGGAAGCAGCCAAAATGTGGAGACAAAGAAACATGTCACAAATGAAAGAAATGGAAGAAAGCAAAATACTGGATATAGAGTTCAAAACCAGAGTTATAAGGTTACTCAGGAATCTTCTAGTAACCTCCAAGGAACTTAGTGAGACCTTCAAGGATCTTAGTGAGAATGCCAAAAAAATGGAAAAGGACCAGTCAAAAATTAAGCATACACTGACTGAAACAAAGAATAATATATAGAGATTCAACAGTAGACTAGAGGATTCCAAAAATCAAGTCAATGATTTGAAATACGAGGAAGCAAAAAACACCCAATTGGAAGAGCAAAAAGAAAAAAAAAATCCAAAAATATGAAGATAGTGTAAGGAGACTCTGGGACAACTTCAAGCGTACCAACATCTGTATTATGGGGGTGCCAGAAGAAGAGAGAGAGCAAGATATTTGAAGAAATAATGACAGAAAACTTCCCTACCTGGTGAAAGAAATAGACTTACAAGTACAGGAAGCACAGAGAACCCCAAACAAAAGGAATCCAAAGAGGACCACACCAACACATCATAATTAAAATGCCAAGGGCTGTATTACAAAGCCACTGTTCTCAAAACTGCCTGGTACTGGCACAAGAACAGACATATAGATCAATGGAATAGAATAGAGAGCCCAGAAATCGACCCGAACCAATATGCTCAATTAATATTTGACAAAGGAAGCAAGAACATACAATGGAGTCAAGACAGTCTCTTCAATAAATGGTGTTGGGAAAATTGGATAGATACATGCAAAAAAATGAAACTAGACCACCAACTTAAACCATACACAAAAATAAACTCAAAATGGATAAAGGACTTAAATGTAAGATGGGAAACCATAAAAATACTAGAGGAATCCAAAGGCAAAAAAATCTCAGACATATGCCGAAGCAATTTCTTCACCGATACATCTCCTAGGGCATTGGAAACTAAAGAGAAAATAAACAAATGGGACTACATCAAAATAAAAAGCTTCTGCACAGCAAAAGAAACCATCAACAAAACAACAAGAAAGCCCACTGCATGGGAGAACATATTTGCCAATGTAATCACCGATAAGGGTTTAATCTCCAACATTTATAGGGAACTCATACAACTTAACAAAAGGAAGATAAACAATCCAATCAAAAAATGGGTGAAGGACCTAAATAGACACTTTTTAAAAGAGGACATTCAGAAAGCCAAGAGACATATGAAAACATGCTCAAAGTCACTAATCATCCGAGAGATGCAAATCAAAACAACAATGAGGTACCATCTCACACCTGTCAGAATGGCTATCATCAACAAATCAACAAACGACAAGTGCTGGAGAGGATGTGGAGAAAAAGGAACACTCGTGCACTGCTGGTGGGAATGCAGACTGGTGCAGCCACTATGGAAGACAGTATGGAGTTTCCTCAAAAAGTTAAAAATGGAATTCCCATTTGACCCAGTGATCCCACTTCTAGGAATATATCCCAAGAAAACAGAAACACCAATCATAAAGGATATATGCACCCCTATGTTCATAGCAGCACAATTCACCATAGCTAAGATCTGGAAACCGCCTAAGTGCCCATCAGCAGATGAATGGATTAGAAAACTGTGGTACATCTACACAATGGAATACTATGCTGCTGTAAAAAAGAAGGAATTCTTACCATTTGCAACAGCATGGATGGAACTGGAGAGCATTATGCTAAGCTAATAAGCCAGTCAATGAAAGAAAAATACCACATGTTCTCACTCATTTATGGATAATTAAGACCATTATAAACTGATGAGCAAAAATAGATACAGAGGCAGAGCAGCATCGAACAGACTGTCAAACTACAGCGGGAAGGCTGGGGAGGGTTGGGGCGAGATCAACCAAAGGACTTGTATGCATGCATATGAGCATAACCAATGGACACAAGACACTGGGGGATATGGGAGGCTACAGGAGGGTCAAGGGGAGAAAAAAAAAGGAGACCTATGCAATACTCTTTGTAATACTTTTAGCAATAAAACAATGTAAAAAAATGCCAAGGGCAAAAGACCAAGAGGGAATCTTAAAATCAGCAAGAGAAAAATAGTTACCTACAAGGGAGTTACCATAAGATTGTCAGCTGATTTCTCAACAGAAAATATGCAGGCCAGAAGGGAGTAGCAAGAAATATTCAAAGTGATGAATAGCAAGAACATACAACCAAGACTACTCTACCCAGCAAAGCTATCATTTAGAATTAAAGGTCAGATAAAGAGATTCACAGACAAGAAAAAGCTAAAGGAGTTCATCACTACCAAACCAGTATTATACGAAATGCTGAAGGGTTTTCTTTAAGAAGAGGAAGAAGAAGAAAAAGGTAAAGATAAAAAATTATGACCAACAAAGTGACAACAAATACATATCAACAAGTGAATCTAAAAATCAAATGAATAAAAAATCTGGTGAACAGAATAAACTGATGAATGTAATAGAATCAGGGCATGGAAATAAGAGCAGACTGACAATTCCCGGGGTGGCGGGGAAAGGGGGTGTGAGGGATGCAGGAAGAGATTGGAGAAAAATCTTATACCAATGGACAAGGATAGTGGGGGGCGCGAAGGCCTGGGGTGGGGTGGGAACCGGGTGGAGGGGAGCTATGGGGGGAAAAAGAGGAACATCTGTAATAATCTAAACAATAAAGATTTTGAAAAAATGATCTTCCTATTCAATAGCTGAGAATTGCAGACCCAGAGCTCAAATGAGTTGCCAGGGTCACACTGCTGCTGAGGGCAGCTAGAATGCAGGTGTCCAGAGCCCCAGTCCAGTGCTCCTTCCTCCACATGCCACAGCCTCCCCAGCAGTCACTAGAAAATGACATGCAACCCAGAGAATGAGTCCCACCGGCCCTCTCCCTCACCCCACTCCAAAGTCAGGATACAGTTTCTTCTCAGGTAGGCCAAAAGGGTTGTTTCTGGATCTGCATTTTTCTCCACCACCTACAAAATAACAGGAAAATATATCATAGGTGTACTTAGCCGTTTTCTTACTGAAAAATTGGTAAAGTTAATGGGGATGTGTTAAATATCTTACGAAAACTAAAGGGTTTTTTCTTGAAAATTCCATAAGAATGGCCACATTAACTACAAGCCCAACTATGTATGTGCTGACATCTTCCATCCTAAGGTTCTACAGTAGGACCCACCACGAGGACTTGGGTTTCGCGCCTGCCATGCTAGGCTGACCGAGGCAAAGCTCTCTTTAAAGCAAACATTTCACCTCATTTCCAGCTGCCGATCACACCTGTGAATGCCAAGGACAGCTGAGGTGGCAGCATGCAGACCTCTGGGTTTGCTTCCTGGGTGTCCTCACTCGGAGAGCAGAGGGCCAATCTGTGGACCTGTGCTCACAGCGGAGTATTGTACGCATTGGGCTATCACAGTCAACAACATTAACACATGTCAGAAAAGGAGGAGAGCTCTCCAACCAAAGGGCCACAAATGGAATTCCCGATAAAATGGAGGAGGCTGTCTACAGAGTGAAGTGCTAGTTCCCAAAGCAAATTTTCAGAGGAAATCTATGGAAAACCATTTCATGCCTCCTCACACATTACCAAGGGTGAAAGGGTTTGGGTGATTTGGGTGGTTAAAGGTAGAGAATTTGTGATGAGGGTTTCTGTAGAGAGCCCTGTGGTATGACTTCCACATCTTCCTAAAGTCAGGAGAGAAGTATCTGCTCGCACCTCATACATCATTAGGGGGCTTTCATAGCACCACACATGAAGCTAGTGTGTGGCCTTTGCAGTACTGGGGAAGCGGTGGTCTGGCCCATCTAAACAGCCAGAGGTAGGCCCACCAGACAGCTGAAGAAGCAGTGTCAGTGTTGGGGTTGGGGTGCACTCCCAAAGTTCAGGAGAGCAAAGCACATAAAGTGTTGACCATGGACCTAATGGAGGCCATGCATAAGAGAGAGAGAAAGAGAGGGAGAGAGGGCATGTGGAAAGTAGAGAGGGAGAGAGAAAAAGAGAGGAAGAGAGAGAGAGAGAGAGAGAGAGAGAGAGAGAGAGAGGACTGTTTAAATCATTCTCCAAAAAAAAAAACACCAACTACAGGTGATGGGACCTCCAACAGAGTCTGTGCGGAGGGGACCTCCCAAACCGAGGCTGGGAGAGAGCAGAGGCCTGGGAGGAGCACAGACCCCATGTCAGAGCTCCCACTGAATGTGCCCCCTGGTGGGAAGCCACCTTATCCCAACACCAATCAAATGAAAACCTTCTTGCTGCCCTCACCTCTGTCCTGAACTGAGACTGTGTTCAGCAACTTAGAAATGACCATAGGGTTTCTTGTTAACCAAAAGTAGTCAAAGAGGTAACAAAACTGCCAGAATTCACCTCTTGAATCAAGTTTGAGGGAAGGGAAAGATAGGATGAATTTCCCTTTTTCATTACACCCCACAGCTTATTCAAGGTCCTGATTACAAAGTTTACACAGCAACTATGTCTTTCCTCTTGGAGAAGAAATCATAAGTGTACAAACTAAAGATCCCCAGCGCCTGTTCTGTAGACGGACATGAGCGCCTTACCTACTGTCTTCTCCCCAAGTGGGTCCTTCCTCCTGCCCGCCAGCTCTGATTCTGTCACATCACATCGGTCCCCTGCTCTGCCCTCAGTGACCTGCAAGGTCTCCCAGGTTCCTTAGGCTGTCTGTCAAGGCCCTTTTCAATATGTCCCCCATCTTCATTTTCAGCCTTTCCCCTGCCTACTTTCCCTGCCAAGCTGGTTTTCGTACTCCAGTGAAAACACACCATCTACCTTCTAGCTCATAAGTCTTCAACCATTTCGTTCCTCTGCCATCTGCGTCTTGATTATCAGAAGACCCTGGACACCTTCCTAGTAAGGCTTTTCCTATCACCCCAGCCACAAGCCCACCTCCCTGAATTCCAACAGAAAATGGCTGTGCCACTCTCAGGGCCTGGCTGCAGAGTTTGCCCCCAGAAAACCCCATGGAACCCTCTCTCAATAGGACACCAGTGGGAATCCCACAGGAAAAACACTTTGTGGGGAAGGGAGCTTAGGAGACACTGGGTTAGGCAGATGGTTTTAGAAAACCCCAATCACCAAAACAAATAATGGCCAAAATGGGTTTATAATCCATTAAGTAAAAACCCATGAGTCTGAATTCATAATTAATAAATAAAGAAACAAATGGGAGAAAAGGGGAAGTTTTCTTGGCAAAAGAAAACCAATTAATAAACATGATCGGCCATCTTATCACCTGCCCCGTTACTGATCCAGCCGAGAATGATTAACATTAAAAGATAATAAAACTAGTGGGTGAACGTTTGATAATGGAGATATTTACAGCCTCAAAGTACCTTCTCACAGATCATTTACTAATTATAAAGGAAGCAAGAGTAACCTGACAGCGGAGAAACCTGAGCACCGCCTCACCAAAGGAGCAAAGTTCACACCCAGTAATGCGAACGCTGACAGGATGTCCTGACAGGATGTCCTCCCGATAAGGTCGCACTACTTCTCTGCAATTCCCACCCACAGTGCAGACTCTGGATCGAATTATTAGGAAGCATGGCACAAACTCAAAATGAGGGACATTTAAAAAAAAACTGACTTGTTCTCTTCATAAACATCACCGTCCCAAAACACAAGGAAAGCTAAGAAGCTGTTCCAGATTAAAGGACACTAAAAAGACTTGACAATTAACTGCAAGATGCAATCCTGGCCTGGGGTGGGATCGGGGGAGTCATGAAGAACGTCACTGGGAAAATGGAAATAATGTTGCATAAAAATCTATAGATTTTAGATCATAGTATTATGTCAACACTAAACTTCCTGATTTTTAAAATCTGTGGTTCTGTTATAATATCTTTATTTTTCATTTAAGGGGTAAGAGGGTATGATGTCTGAAATTGACCCTCAGATGATTCAGAAATAAAATCTTATGCTTTATATATTTAGTTCTATTATTTGCATACATAAATAAATATATATTTGTGTACTTATTAAACATACACCTATATATCTATGTAGGTACCTATAACTACATACATATATATATGTAAAGAGAGAGATAAATAAAATACAAATGTGGCAAAATGTTAACACGTAGGAAAAGTCTATTTAATATTTCTTTGCATTCTTCCTGTAACTTTTCTGCAAACTTAAAATACAAAGTTTAAAAAATAAATTACTTTGCCAGAGGATTTTTTTAGGACTTTTACTATTCATCTATTCATTCTACTCACATGATTTGGGCACCTACTTTGTGCCAGCGCTGGGCTGAGTGGTTTAAGAATATCTAAGAAGTGTATCTCACGGGGATAGTTTCCTGTGAAATACATTTTGGAATATATCACTTTGCCTAACCATAATCCACCTCTGCAACTAGTTCATAAACTCCTGAATGGCAATGCCTCCAGCCCATGTATATCCACAAGCCCAGGTCTGGGAGGAACTTGCAAAATGTCAATGATGTGAGGGAGGGAGAGAGAGAGGCTCAACTCCCTGACACTGACTTCTTGTGAGGGGATCACTATTGGACACCTTCAGCTGCACCGTACATGCTAAACCTCCCTAGCTTCCTCCAGATGCCACAGTCTCCACTAAACAGAGAGTGATTGCTCCGAAAAGCAAGGATCCTACCCTCCCAAAGGACTATCACTACAATAACAAAATCCTGGGCAGCTCTTTCCCTTCCTCTCTTTCGATCAGCAGAAGACGTGAAAACAACAGCCAATAAGGCCCATCATCACCACAGAAGGCCCCCTGGGTACTTGATGGCTGGTATCTTATATAGGGTGTCCCAAAATTCACGCAAGATTTGAATTTTGCGTGAGCATTAACAACAACAACAAAATAAAATAAAAGCCTAATTTTACTTGGTTTATTGAATCAGATTCTAATATCTGTTGCCCTTTGATTTTAATCCCTTCAATTTGATAAGCATTACCAAGTACCAATTATGGCCCAGGAGCAGGGACAATGAAGACCAATGAAGACCACGGCTTTGCGTATGTGCCAGCAAAGCTGTGGAGACTATTTACCCGATGTGCTATTCCATACATAACCCTATACTGTATACTTTATGAATCAATAAAAAATTTACAATTTTTAATTATAAACCTGTGTTTTCTATCAAAATTACATCTTGCGTGAATTTTGGGACACCCTATATCTTCCCCAGGACCCCAGCTAGTGAAGGACAGGGAGAGTTGAAGGCTCACATTGAAGAGTGAGTCACCAAGTTCTGGCCTCTTGTTTCATAACTTCTGTGTATAATGTCCTGTAACAAAAGGTCTAGAACAGGGGTGGGCAAAATTTTGACTCAAGGGCCACAATGGGTTCTTAAACTGGACCGGAGGGCCGGAACAAAAGCATGGATGGAGTGTTTGTGTGAACTAATATAAATTCAAAGTAAACATCATTACATAAAAGGGTACGGTCTTTTTTTTTTAGTTTTATTCATTTCAAACGGGCTGGATCTGGCTCGCGGGCCATAGTTTGCCCACGGCTGGTCTAGAACATTTGGGACTCGGTGCTTACTCACACCTGCCTTAATTTGTTTGGGGATTCCTTGACTGGGTCTTGTTTTTACAGTACTGCTTTTACCTCATCACTCCTTGCACCGCCTGTCCTCTTGCCAGCGGTTTCTCAAACATGGATATTCATCACAAAAACTGGCCCGAGTAGATGGTAGGGTTTGATGTGATAATTCCATCTACAAATTCCGAATTGCTTTCCTCAGGTGAAAATAAAACTCATGAGAAAGCAATTTTTGCCAAGCCGGATTTCCCTGCAAATGCTCCAGTGCATCGGGGCAAACAATTTGTAAAGAAGAATAGAAGCTTGTACTGACACACAGGAATTGATGGCTCAATAAAAAAAAAATCAACCTTAGAGGTGGGTGTGGCCTTGGAAGTCATTAACCAGTAAATCCAGCTGCTCAAGGAATGTAAAAATTGCTTAGAACAATTCCACAGAAGACACGCTTCTAGAAAGCCAATTCAACAACTATTTCTTAAATCTCTGCAGTGCAATTGCTGAATGCAACAAAATTGTTGGAAATCTTGGGTGCAAAAGTCTTACTACTACCAACGTGGAAGCTTCGCCCTACCTCTTGGTTTGCTGCCAGATGCCAATCCTGAAAAGAAACTGGCATGGAGAGACAACTTTGAACCCAGAAGGGCATGGCTGACCCCACTCCCCAGTGCCTCCCGGTGACACCAGTCACACTGAGTCTTTAGCCTTTGGAGCACTGATGTTATGGTAGCTCATGGAATTTTCTTGCTAGTCTCAAATACACCCTAACACTTAAGCACTAGATGTCCTATGAAGCACATTTTAGTTCTTGAAAATTACCGTGAAAGTCACCCTGTTTTTCATGTGCAACAATCCCTCTTACTGTCCCATTCATTCCCAACTGGGGAACTAAAGCAGATGCAAGCAAGTCAGCAGCGGTGTAGGGAGGGCAAGTGGAAGATGGAGACAATGTAATGTGCTTGCACCCTCTCTCTCTGCACCTACATTAGAATTTGCAAAGGTCCTCATCCTTCCAGTGCTGCAAGGACATGGTCCCCATGTCATAAGTCCCCCTCTGGCCCATCTTACCCTCACCTTCCCTAGGTCCCTGGGCACCCCTAAAGTTAATCCAAATGGTCCATTTTTACCAAAGGGATTTGCATTATTAATATGTAGAACTAAGGGCAGGGGCAAGCATGCCCTTAATGAAAATAAATGTATCTGCCACAAGATGTCAGTATACGTACTCCCACAAGTTAGCTGCTATATTTCCATACATGAAATATCAGAAGCAAAGGCTGCATACATCTTATATCTGGATATTAGCAAGAAAACACGTTCCCATTCCTTCCCTTGGTAAAGAGATCAACCGATGCCTTAGGCCATATTTGATTAAATACAGAAATAGAAGTGTGGTGGGTGACCTCCAGTCTCACCTAGAACCCTGTCCTCCCTTCTCAGCTTCGTGCTGTGGGGTGGGTGGGGTGGGAGAAGCTCCCAAACACTTCTCTCCTCGCTTCCCTCCCCCTCACTTTTTTGCCCCTTGAGTATCTATCTTGACTCTGGTCTAGCCTGGAGAAGGTCTTCTTTCCCCAAGGTCACCCCAAAGGCAGCCACACCTTTAAAGGAAGAGAGAGAAAGGAAAACACGAAAAGAGAGAACAGCTTCTTCCACTGGACACATAGCCCTTTCCAGGGAGCAGGGAAGCCAAAGCAAAGGTCAGCTCCTGCTTACCTTTTTGCCATTCACAAAGAAAACCAACTCGTCCGCTGTCATTGTCAACAGGTGGGTCCCCTGAACTCCAGGTACCTCACTCCCGAGAGACAAGGGCAGTTATTACTCCTCTGCCACTTGAAAAATACTCCTCCCCAAAATAATGAGAGCAAGTAGGCCAATAGGAGGGAAGGAGCGTAGAGCCTCAGGGGGTTGAGAGTTCCTGGCAAAAAGCCATCGGTTTGCATAATCAAGGAAAATGAAAGCAATCATTCACAAGCAAATCACACCCCCAACACCTGTGTCAAAGAGCACAGAGGAAGGCACGAATCAGCAAGATTATCAGCCTTGGTACTGTGCCACCATGGGTCTTAGGCACTGCCCCGTGGAACCTGCTTCATCCCCCCACTGGCTGACGACAGAGAAGGGGGAAGGGCCATTGTCAGAGTCAGGGCAGTAGGGCTGACTCACACCCTCCTTGATGTTCACCAGATATAGTTACAGCAACGCAGACTCAGCCCTTACCTTCAGGGCTCATCCTTCTGGAGGAACATGGAGGTCACAGATGTGGTGCCCGGTGATCCAGATGCAAAACCTGGCATTGGACCTCAGCCAGTTACTTATCTCCTTCAGAATTCTGTGCTCACCCTCTAAATGGGCACACCAATGACACCAAAAGCAGAAGGCGGAGGGACATATGATATATTTTGGAAGCACTTTGTCAATTTGCAAAGAACTAAAATATTGATTACGACTACTGATGTAGACTCAACAACACAACAAAAATAATGCTAACAATAAATCATTTTTGAGGCTTTTATTTATGTCTCTAAGGAATGTGCCCTTAATACATCATCAGAGTAACTCATAAAAATATTTCGTAATACCAAATAAATTAAAATGCGCACACTACCTACTCATAGGCCAAGTTAGCTCGGAGCTGAAAACCTGCCCTCGTCCAGTATTCATTAACTCCTAATGCAAACACACATGCACATTGCCCACCCAGGCAGCACCAATGAGCTCTCTGCAGTCTGGCACCCAAATGCCCCTCCCAGTCCACACACACACACACACACACACACACACATCAGCTTTCCCTCTGGTCTGCTTTCACCCTAAAAGGACCCGCACAGTTACTCAAACAGCCCTTGAAAACAGGTAACTTTCCCCACACTCCTGGCAGGCTAGGAGTGGGGTGGAGAAACAGGAGTATTACACAGAAGTGCCTGGCACAGCAGCAGCTTAGAGAAACTGAAGACCACAGGACAACCATGTTATCCACACAGGCGTCTCTCCCAACCACAGCCTTCCTATAAGCAGAAGATGAAATTCCATTTGTAGGGTGGCCAATCATCCCAGTTTGCCCCCACCTATCCTGGTTTTAGCACTGAATCCCTTCAGTCCAGGGCAAACTGTGTTGGTTGGTCACCAGAAAACAATGATTTTTAACTGGGGTGGGTGAGGATTCCCACCCTCAGAAGCCATTCAGCAATGTCTGGGGTTGAGTTTTATTGTTATGACCAGGAAGGGTTGCTACTGGTATCTAGTAGATAGAGGCCAAGGATGCTACAAGACACTCTATAATGCACAGGACAGCCCCAGCAACAAACAACTATCTGGTCTTACATGTCAATAGAGCCAAGATTGAGAGACCCTCCCCTAAAAGGCAGAAGGAAAGAGGGGCTGAGCCTGGGGTGGTGCTTGGTAATGGATGACTTCTCCCTGACCTTTCACCTCTGTGATGGAGAGGCTTTTCCTCTATTCACTGATCCATCCAGCTATCCAAGCCCTTTACTTCCTAGCCAGTCTCTAGCCAAAGTCCCAAGAAACTCTCAAGGTAAAGAGGGAAGGTGGAGGCAGGACCTCAGGTTTGATGTAGGTAGACTGGCTTGAGTATTATCTCCACCACTTCTGTGTGACCTTTAGCAAAAATCACTCTCTTGGCCTCAGTAGACTTATCTATGGAATGGGGGCGACTATACCTACTTGCTAAGAATCCACTGTGGTGAGAATTAAGTGGGACTTAGGTTAGGAGTGTGACCCACAGTAAATGCTCAGTACATACGTAGTGATTTACTTGTCCCCCGTCTGCCAGTCTTCAGCCTCCCAGAGATGAAGTTCCTCTCTGTTACTGTGGAGCACTGAAAAAAATGAGAGCAAAATATATTTTCAAGAAGGGCTCATGCTGTCATTCATATTTTATTTCTGTAATAATTATAATAACTAATTTATTTCTATAATACTGAGATTTGACAAAAAAAAACCTTTAAATTCATTTTACTTTTTATTCAGCAAAATATTTGTGACCATTTCTTTCTCTGTGGTTTTTCTAGATGTTATAAATTAGGGGAAAACCGTCTAAAATAAGTTTTGTTTTTTCAAAGTTGATGACCACCTATACATGCTTTCAATGTTGAATGAATTCCCAACTTTGGGTTGAATTAATGGGATTTCGTGGTCTGGGAATGGGCCAACTATAACTTAACATTACATTAACTTACCGCACTTTTCAAAAGAACATCTTGCTTTATAATTTGCACGGCGTTGGTAGACGAGGTCCCAAAGTCCATGGAGAAGTCAGGTAAGCCCTGAGGCCCCCTGGACACAAACAAGTCTTCCTCTTGGAACCACACTTCCAGGAAATCACAAGAGATAAGAAGAGTAAAAACGCTGCCAAGAGCCAAGTCATAACTCGTGGAATAGTGAGCTCTTTGGGCCAAGCATGCCCTGGAAGGAGTGATTCAGGAAAGTGCTCGAAGGTTCTCTGAATGCCTGGCCAGGCCTGGTGCTCTGGCAGCTGCTGCCCTGGCAGGTCCCACTTCCCACAGGTCTCAGGGCCAGCCCTGCCTGTGCCTGCCTCTGCAGCAGCACCTCTGGGCTGCCCACTCCCTCTCTCTGCACCCAGATGTGCGCCTCTGTCTGTACCCTACAGGTGTCCCCTGTTCACTTTCTTCACTTACAACAAACTTTCCTCGAGCCCAGCTGGTGTGGCTCAGTGGTTGAGCATCGACCTATGGACCAGAAGGTCACGGTTTGATTCCTGGTCAGGGCACATGCCAGGATTGTGGGCTCGATCCCCAGTGTGGGGCGCGCAGAAGGCAGCTGATCAATGATTCTCTCGTCATTGATATTTCTATCTCTCTCTCCCTCTTCCTTCCTTTCTGAAATCAATAAAAATATATATTTAGTTAAAAAAATTTACTTGAGAAAAAGGAAAATCACATTCCATGGTTCAGACTTTTCTTAATTTTCTTGCCAAAGACCTGATTTTCCTCCTAAATAGGCCCATTCTGGACGAAAGATTTTGCCACATTCTCAGAGCCTCACTGCCTACCACCCAAGTCCTCCCTGTTCTCCAAACATCCAGATTATTAACCGGTCCTAATGATAGCTTTTGACACCTGAAGAGCACTTCTTTGCACATAATGTGAATTCATTTGATCCTTATAAAAGCCCTGTGGAATGGGCCAGGAAGTTATTATTATCTTTCTTCTCCAGACAAAGAAAATGAGAGGCAGCAAGTTTGACTTGCTGTCTCATGGCGAGTGAGTGTCAGTTTCTACATCTGTCACCCACTTCTCAGCAGAGAAGTCATCTCCCTGGTGGCTCTTCACTAACTATGGAGCATGAACCCCAGGATTGTGAGCATGGTACTCACAGCCCTTCTCAGCCCGGCTGAAATCCAGGCTTCTGGTTAGGGAAGCCCCTGAGACCAGGAGCAGAACTGTGTTTCTGACTATATTGCTGGTGCCCAGCAGAGGGCCAAGTCTATAAAAAGGATCAAAAATGCTTATGAGCTCAGCTGGTGTGGCTCAGTGGTTGAGGGTCAACCTATGAACCAGGAGGTCACAGTTCGATTCCCGTTCAGGGCACATGCCCAGGGTTTCGGGTTTGATCCCCAGTAGGGGGCATGCAGGAGGCAGCTGACCAATGATTCTTTTCTCTTTTTTAATATATTTTATTGATTTTTTACAGAGAGGAAGGGAGAGGGATAGAGAGTTGGAAACATCGATGAAAGAGAAACATCGATCAGCTGCCTCCTGCACACTCCCTACTGCGGATGTGCCTGCAACCAAGGTACATGCCCTTGACTGGAATCGAACCTGGGACCCTTGAGTCCACAGGCCGACGCTCTATCCACTAAGCCAAACCAGTTAGGGCTGATCAATGATTCTTATCATTGATGTTTCTATCTCTCCTTTTCCCTTCTTCTCTGAAATCAATAAAAAAATATTTTTAAAAAATCAAATTTTAAAAATGCTTATGAGTTGAGCCCACAATACAAGGAACAAGTGTTTTTCAGAAATGTCTAAGCCTCTGCCTTTTACCAAATGTGGAATTTTCTTCCATCATTCCATATCTCAACACCATTGAACTTCCCTCACCAGCAACTTTCCTTTTATCATTGATATGAGGTAACCAATCGGTATTCCTCAACATAAAGGTCACATTATTACCAGGGAGGAAATCAATCCCTGGTTTTCTACATGCATCTGGGCAGTGGGTTCCTTTAGAATCAAGAACGGGTTACTCAGAAGCGGACACAGAGTCAAAACTAAAAGGATGTGAACTTCAGCCTGAGTTCGTGCCGCAGACATATAAAAGCTAGAGGAATAGAAAAGGCCCAGAAGCAAATTCAACCCCACGTTATCAGTCTTCATCTGTTCTGTTTTTTGATCATGTCTTTGGCATTCAATAAGCTCTGGAACTCCAAGGTCATTTGTGGTGATGACCGCGTGGGTTTGTCTGCACACAGAGTAAGGTCTTTCTTTCCCATCTGAGCTGCTCTAGCACAATTGGGGAAGAAGAGCCTTGACTTCTTCACCCAGAGGTCAAGTCACATGTGCTCTGTAGACAATATGGCCCAATGAGTAACCCCTGAGAAAATTCTTTCCACAACTATTTGCAAGTCCTATTCTCCTCCTCTGACTTTTTTCTTATTAATCATCTGAAATACTATATCATGACCTCACTTACGTATTTGTGGTCTCTCTCCCTGCACCCATGAGGATGTAAGTGTGCAAGCTGTCTCTGCCTGCCCTACAAATATCCATACCCTTCTTCTCTATTGAAACGTTTCTGCTGGGAAGTCACTGCCCAGCCAGGAATGACATTTCTCAGTAGAAAGCCGTATAAT